TCCTGTCTGGAAGAGGAGGCCACGCAGGCATTTCTCCCTCCGTCCCCCTCTGTAGCAACCAAACTCCCGCTTGGGAAAGGTGAGTCTGTTGTGGCTCTTTCCATTCGCCCTCCTTCGTGATCAAATGGACGCTTTCACAGTATCCTGCATAGGACTGGAGGTGGAGGGGACCGCTGGTTCATTTTGGGTGGATGATGGGACCTTGTGATCTCCCCTTGGGCATCCTATCTAGCTGTACAGTGTGTCTGAGATCACCTGGAATTTCTCATCCATGCCTCCCTGTCTTGCTTGGAACCCACTGAAAATGCTTTTTTTGGCCAGAATCCTGTTGCTCTGTCTGATTCGCTGAATAACGCAGCAAAACCTATGGAGGCTTTAGGATCTTTAATAATAATCATATGCGGTCAGGTCAGTTCTGACTCATGGTGACCCTTTTCAGGGTTTTCTAGAGAGAAGGTCCTCAGAAGTGGTTTGCCATTCCTTTATTCTGGGGATGTCCTGGGGATGTGCAGCTGGCCCAAGGCCACCCAGGAGGCTTAGTAGGAGGCTCAGTGGGGAATCGAACTCCCAACCTCTGGTTACGAAGCCAGACACCCAAATCTCTGAGCTGTCCAGCCAGCCTCTCTTCAGTTGTTGAGGAAGAGCATGGTGCCCACCTGTGCGGAGGTGAGCATCCTAGGCTGGCCTCGTTTGTTGTCCCATTGAAGTCCAGCTCTCTGAAGAAGGTGCATCCAGGTAGCCTCTCCAGTTGAGCCTGAATCCCAGTTTGGGGCATTGTGGGGGTTGGGGGAAGAGGAGATTTTTTCCCCTTGAAAAGTCCATTTAGAACTATCTCACCCTCTTCAGGCAATTTGCATTTCCACGTTTGGAAGGGTGGGGGCCGTGCTCTCATGCTCACTTTGATGCATGTGGGCTCCAGACACTCAATATGGTTTTGTCTGAGGATTCTAAGGAATGAACGCTTGCAGCCAAGGACGGATATTTTTCCTGAACTTCTGTGCGGCTGGGAGACGCCTCTGCTCCCCTCGTCTTTGCCACAGGAATGATGAAAGAAAACTAGAGCAGCGATTTTCAGCCTCTGACCCTCTAGACGTCTTGGGTTTCAACTCCCGGAAGACGACAACCCCCCCCCCCAAAAAAAATCAGCATTGTCAGTGGCTGAAGGTCCTGGTCCTGGTCGTTGAAAGGCCAGACGGCTGAAAAGTCAGAGAGGGAGAACCACTGAACTAGAGAGAGAAAAAAGAAGGGAAGGCTGATGAGGCACCACTTTATCCTCTCCTTGCTTTTTGTTTTTTTCTCAGACAGTCTGCAAACAACTAGGCAGGCAGGGGCGTGGGGGGTAGAATTTAAGGACTTTCTCTTAAGTTCTTGCTTTGGATGAGATTCATAGGAGATCCCGTGGGAAGGAGAGTGGGGTGTGGGCAGCTCATCTCGAGGGAGGCAGCTGGCTCAGGCAGCAGTATTTGCTGGTGGGCCAGTTGTAGGACACCACAGTCTGCCTTCTCCGTCAAGAGCAGGGATGTCCTGCCTTGGCAGGGGGCTGGGCTAGATGACCTTTGGGATCCCTTTGAGTTCTGCAGTTGTATGATCCTGCGACACAGGGGCCGCAGATTGTTTCCACATGTAGCCCAGCCTTCCTCACCCTGCTGCTGCTCTTCCCAGTGTGCTGGACCGCAGCTTCCATTCCTAGGCAGCTTGGCAGGGGATGATGGGACTTGTAATCAACGCTAGAAGATATTAGTTTGAGATCTATACCTGATACCTGGACTCTGATTGTGGGAACCCTCCAGTCTCTCTTCTGCTTTAAAAACAAAAAAAATTGCAGTGTCTGCTGCCTTCTTAATTAGAGATGTCAGGGACTCGAACCCAGGACGTTCTCCATGCAAGGCCTTTGCTCTGTGTTTGAGCTCTAGCTTTATCTGGAGGGCCACAGGTTGGGGGAGATGGGTCTGGGCTGTGAAGGAGGATAATTGGAACTGGTGTTTTGCTTCTCTCTCCTCTCCCCCCACCCCCCAGCATGCAGCTCCCCTTTAAAAGAGGATAATCAAGACCCTGGTGCTTACATGCTGGAAGCCACCCAGTTGTTCTGTCAGGATCTGGAACCGCTCTCCGAAGAGCCCACACAAGCCTTTGTTGCCCCGGAGGAGGAAGAGACAGAATTGATCTCCCAGTCCCTGCGTGAAGAGGGTGGAGGGGGACTCCACGTGGAGGGCACAGTGCCTGCACTTTCAACCTTAGCCTCTAGGGGGCAGCAGGCCACCCGTCTCTCTGCCACCCTTGCTGAGCCTTCTTCCCTCGGATCCTCGCCTTCAGAGCTTGTTGCCCACACCGTGGCAGAGGGCGGGGTAGACAAGCCAGAGAAGAAAGCAGAACCGGAGCTTGCCCGTTCCGTACCAGTTCCTTCCAGTAGCAGCAGCAGTGAGTCCTCGGCATTACCGGAGGTGGTGGGGAACATCAAGAGCGAGGCACAAGTGTCGGCAGAGCCCTCTGAAGCTGGAAGCGCTGCAGGACTCCCACCGCCCGGGAGTGGGGAAGGTGAGCCGGTGGGATGCCTTGGAAGAGGAGGGGACGTGGTTTTCCAGAAACAGAACGGGGCACACACACAGGATGGAGGGATGGATGCAGCACCGAGGGGTGTAGTCCTCAGAAGCAGAGTTGATTGAGCGGCTGGAGTGTTAGATGAGGACAGCGATGGCGAACCTATGGCACGCGTGCCAGAGCTGGCACACAGAGCCCTCTCTGTGCGCAGGTGACCTATAAGTTGCTGGATCGCTACCCCCGGCAGCGAAACCTGAGGAGGAGGCTGCAGCCGTGGTGCTGGCGCCCTGACAGGCGGCGGGCCAGGATCCAGAGTGGGGTCTCAAGGTACCTCCGTACCCGGGATTCCCCCTTCTGCTGCCACCCGCTGAGTCCCCCCAGCCCCCGTTTGGGCACAAAAAGGTTCACCATCACTGGATTAGGAATTGGGGGAGACGGGTTCAAGTCCCCACATGTCATGGGTTAGTGGTCCCCTTTCAACCTCACCTCTACCCCACAAGGCGGTTGATTGTCCGGCTGATGCCAGGAGGAGTCATAACACACCATTGGGAGTTTATGGCAGAAAAAGTGGGACAGAAATGTGTCAAGTGAAGACAGTCGGTAGAAAATAAATAGCAAGGCCCATTTGTCTGCTCATAGCTATATGCGGACAGGCACCTAGATGTTTTTCTCCCCCTGTACAAGTTAGAAGGGGCAGCCCAGTTTGAACAAGGAAGACATTTGGTGCTTTCTGCTGTGTCTCTCTCTCTCCCTCTCTGTAAATTTACCTTTCTCCTGAAGGATTATAGTGTTAAAGTGGAAAGCTAAAATAATAGATTATTACAATATTTAAAAAGGATTAAACATATACCATATTAAAACTTACAAATAAGAGTAGTATTAAAAGCACAAGTAAAACAACAGAATACAATAATCCCTTTAAAAAAAACACCTTGGTCAACTCGTCATTTAAATGCCTGAAGAGAAAGGTCTTTGTTTATAACTTCCATTTGTTTCTTGGACAAAAGATGTTCTGGCTGCTATATTTGCGGTTGCTCTCTGAAAATATTAAAGCAAAAAAGCAAATCAAAGCTTGCTCTTATATATGCCCCTCCAGCACTTAAAGCACTCTCTGGAAGGTCAACAATGTAATTATGCAAACTACACATTACCCCTTCCCACCCACAAATTGGATACCAAACTCAGGTGGCGAGCAGAGTCTTGACTGCAGTACTGCGGTTTAACCGCTGTGTCACAAGTCTCCTTTTAAAGGGAAAAGCCACAGCATAACCCAGCAGCAGTGACTACTGATCAGTTTCTTTGGAGGGCTCAAAAGAAATGGTTGCAGTGGGAGTAGGATGTGTGTGCATTTTCCATACTCTGGATCCCATTCATGGTTACAGACTGCCTGTCTGTGATTTTAATGGAGGGTGTTTGTCAAAATGCTCTGCTATGCTGGCCAGTACACTGATCTGTGCTTGGCTACATAGCAGCCAGAGGATGGTGTGAGTGGGCATTTTTAAACTTCACTTCCCAGAAGCACTTATCCAGTAAATTCACTTGATGAGGGAGTGTCAGAGCTATAGTGTAGAAATTAACTTTGGGAAGCTTGGTCCAACAGGGCCAGGAAAACCAGCAGATCCTGACCTGCATCATTTCATGAATTCTGAATAAACCAGAACTCATGGCTCTGTAAATCTTCTGGGAAGAGAGCAGGGCATATGCTTAGCCTTTCACATACGGATTGCTTGCAATTGTCTTGGACTACAACCCCTATCATTCCCAGGTGGGAATGATAGAATTGTAGTGTGCCGCGTTTTCAGCATGATAATCTGGGAAAGACGGTCTTTTGTTAGTGTCATGGTTCTCAATCTTTTTGCCTTCCAAGTGTCGTGTGTGTGTGTGTGTGTGTGTGTCAAGATAGTCTGATTGGTATTCCCAAATTTATAGAAACTGTTTTGTGTTTCCTCAGTTCATCAAGAGAGAGAGAGAGAGAGAGAGAGAGAGAGAGAGAGAGAGAGAGAGAGAGACAGCTCCTGGAAGCCTGAAGCCAGCATGGCCAGCTAGGGAATCTTAGCACATCTGGAGGGCTCAAGATTGTGCACTTCTGGTTTAGCGGGTTGCTGAGAGAGAGTGCTGAAAGAGGAGTTATTTTCTTGTGTGGGGAAGGAAGGAAGGAAGGAAGGAAGGAAGGGTGGGGTGCCGACCCCTGTGGCTTTCCATAGAACAGCACTGCCCCTTGGTGGTTGAAATGGGTATTGCACCTTTCAGCTTATCCCTTTCCATTCTTTGTCTTAGCTGGTGTCCATCATCATCTGGATGAAAAAAGCTCCGCAGTAGCCCGGGAGGAAGCAAAGGATGTTTCCGAGCGGGTGAGTATGAGTTTGGGTTTCCCTCCATGGAAACGAAGAAGCTTCCGTAACACCCCACTCATATTCCAGGAGTGGACATTAGAGCTTCTGTTTCCCTGATGTGGGAGAAACTGTCCTATTTCAGCCTAAAGCTCTTCACTGCACACCACAGAGCCTTAGGAGGGATAGTGAAATGCTGTTATGCACGGTAAAGGTGATGAGGCATCTTCTTGTAAGTGCCTTGGTGACGCTGGATTCTGTAGTGGCTTCATAGGGCTCTGCAACAGCCAGAATCCAGACCCAACGATGGCAACATGGAGGAAGTGGGTGGGCCTCCTGCAGCCAGTGTCAGCCGCCGGATCTGAGCTTTCCCACCCCACTTAACACTTTTAGTATTACAGGTGCCAGACTGTGCCAAACCCGAGCCCTCTTCAGTGTCTGGGCGGCGGCGGAGTCAGCGCTTGTCCTCCACCGCTGCCGCCACGTCCCCAGCCTCAGTCCCAGAAGGACGAAGCCTCCGCCGCCGCGGCCTCGCGGGATCGGGCAACGCAGGGGGGAGCCGGGAGCCTGCAGCTTCCCTCTCCCGGCGCAGGGGGCTGCGGCAACTCAGCAGCGCATCGCAGTTCATGGGAGAACCAGAGGCCAAGGATGTACAGCCGGAGAAGGAGGAGGACGAGGAGGAGGAAGCCCGCTCCGGGAAGAAGCCCAGGCACGGGGAGCCTGCAGTTGTCTCCTGTCCGAGCCGAGCCAAGGTCTCGCCGGGAGACTCTGATGCCGCCAGCAGGCTGAAAGGAGAGGCAGCGATCGCTGCCGGCAGCCTTGGGACCAGGGAGCTATCGAGGCGGGGGAAGTCGAGGGCGGCGGCCACAGAACCCGGGAAAGAACAGCCGCCGGAACGTCCTCAGACCCGGGCCGGTAGGCGGTCGAACAGCACTTCAAGCCCAAAGGATTCTGGGAAAGATGCCAAACCCAGGCAGGTGGGTCATGGAACTAACTGAGTGGCGCCTGGAAAACATGGTTCCTAAGAATTAAAGAACCGTGTGGGTAGACAGGGTTTGAAAGAAAGATCCGTAAGAGATCACGAAGAATATTCCTGCTGCCCCAGTTTATTTTGGTCCTTCATTGGGTCCTTTTTAAACTGAAGAGCCCTATTCAGGTGTTACCGAATCCGGCGTGGTCAGTACCCTTCAAGGGGAATGCCTGGCCCTCTTCCATGTCACTGGGATTTCCTTTACCCTTTGCGACACCCAAGTCGGACGGGGAGAGGTGGGCTGCGCTGGGCAGGAACCCAGCTTTTCCAGGATGCTCGCTCACACGCAGAGCCGAGATGTGCACAGAAACCTCTCCTGGCTAGCTGTTGGCTCCTGTGGGAAGCAAGCAAAGGTGGAGAGAGGCAGGGCTTAGGGAGCGCCGGTACAGCCGGAGGAGGAGGAGGAGGAGGAAGCCTGCTCCAGGAAGAAGCCCAGGCACGGGGAGCCTGCAGGTGGAGAGAGGCAGGGCTTAGGGAGCGCCCTGTCAATGTGTGGATAAGGCTGGCTTCCCTGTAACGCTTGAATAGGGTTTGGGTGGCTGATGTGGCCCTTGCCATGCCAGCTCTCCTGTGCAATTGTGAAGCATTGGTAAAGAGCTGTCCGTATTTAGCAGGGCACCCATGGGTGAGCCACAGTCTCTCGCCCACATATTGTGTATGTGTAACAGGGGAGCCGCTTGGGGAAATTGCTCTTTTTGGACTGTTTGAGTCCCAGAACATCCTGCTGGCTGTGGATTCTGGAAGCTGTAGTCCAAAAATTGAACCTTCTGGGTCTTACTGGTTAGTCTAGAGCAGTGGTTCTTAACCTTTGTTACTCGGATGTTTTTGAACTGCAACTCCCAGAAACCCCAGCCAGCACAGTTGGTGGTGTAGGCTTCTGGGAGTTGCAGTCCAAAACTCCTGAGTAACCCAAGGTTAAGAACCAGTGGTCTAGAGGGACTACGAAACTCTTGCACATGAAAGATTTTCCGTGTGCTGTTTCCTGCTAAGGTGCCCTTCGGCAGCCCCGTGGAGGTAGTGTGGTTCCATTGCTGAACATGAAGGGAGCAAGGTGGGGTGTGTGAATACGTTGCGGAGTCCAACTCGTATATTTCTTGGAGGAAAACCGCCCTCCCGCCGCTCCCTGGCCCCAACGCCCTCTGAGGGCAAGCTGGCCTTAGGTCGGGAAGCCTCTCGACCTGCGGCTGGGGCTCCGTGGCTGAGCGCTGGATTTGGTATAGCTCCCTATTAGCAGGGGTTTGACAGTCAGGACGCAGCAGACCTAAATGATTGGAGGTGGTTTTGTGTTTGCTTTCGGGAGATCTTGGGGAAAGTTCCTTTTCCCCAGACGGACAGCTCCGAGAAGCTAGCCGGGAGGTTTTGCAAGCTGGAGTCCCCCAAAAGAGGCACTTTTCTAAGCCTTGATGCGTTCTTTTGTGTGTTTCTTTCCGACCCTCCACTCCAGGAATCCCCAGCCCAGTCCACTCCATCCTCGGGAAGGCGGCTACGGTTGCAGAGCGCAGAAAGCAAGTTGGGGGGAACACGAGCTCAGCCGCAGAAGAGAACCCAGGGCCCCGGCACGCCTGCCCCCAAGGTACCAAAGGCTCGCCCCTCCCCTAGCGGTGGGGATGGTGCCCAAGGCTTTGTGGAAGAGGGCTGGTGGGGGTTCTGCTTCTGACTGGCAACATTCAAGTGGGACCTCTGGATCTTTGTGCGGCTTGGAAATGTGTTGCGAACGGCTGAGCGCAACTCCCAAGGAGGTTACGGGGTTCTGTAGGGTGGTGGTTCTCAACCTTGGGTGCCCAGGTGTTCTTGGACCGCAGCTCCCAGAAAACCTGGCCAGCACAGCAAGTGGTGAAGGCTTCTGGGAGTGGCAGCATGATGATGCACAAACATTTTTGTTGGTTTCCTTTTATTGAGGGAGCAGAGATCGAGGCAAGTGGGAACTTAGCTTCATAGCATTTAGGAAATCCTTGTTTCACCTGCTAGTCAGTGGCCGTGTCCTTCTGGGTGATCTGTTTATCCCCCCACCCACTACTACTACAGTGGTGCCTCGCATAGCGATGATAATCGGTGCAGCAAAAATCACTGCAAAGTGATTTTGTCACTATGCGATATTAAAAAGCCCATAGGAATGCATTGAAACCCCTTCAATGCATTCCTATGGGCTTCAGACTCACCTTTAAGCGAAAATCCTTCATACGGCGGCCATTTTCACTGCCCGGTAAGCGAGGAATCCGTCCCAGAAAACCAGAAAACCGCGGGTGGCCTTTTTTTTTTACCCGGCATCCATTTTGGAACCGCCAGTCAGCTGTTAAAAAATCATTGCTTTGCGATGATCGGTAAACAAAGCGGTACCGATCATCGCAAAGCGATTTTTCCCCATAGGGAACATCGCAAAGCGATCGCAAAAGCGATTGCAAAAAGTTAATCGCTATGCGATTTCGTCGTTAAACGGGGCACCCGTTAAGCGAGGCACCACTGTACTTTATTCTGCCACCTTGTGCCGCTGCTTCTTTTCCAGGTGCTGTTCACAGGCGTGATTGACGAGGAAGGGGAGCGGGTGGTGACCACGCTGGGCGGCTCTCTGGCAGAGTCCGTCTTTGACTGCACCCACCTCGTGACCGACCGCGTGCGCCGCACCGTCAAGTTCTTGTGCGCTTTGGCTCGGGGCATCCCCATCGTGACCCCAGACTGGCTGGAGAAGGTGAGCGGCTTTTCCTGGACTCTCCCTCACGATTCTGCCAAAAGGGAGGAGGGTTCAGGGGACACAGGCACTCTTGAGGTCTTGCTTGACTCACACCTCCCACCCAGGAAAAAAAATATCTTACCACCATCCTGACTCGAAAAGACAGGCATGGAACATTCAGAGCAGGGGCGGGGAATGTGCGGCTCCCCAGATGTGATTGGACTGTAGCTCCCATGAGCTTTCACCATTGGCTGTGGTGCCTAGGATTGATGGGAGCTGCAGTCCAATCTGCAGGACCTCTGGTGGCCAGGACTGGACAACCCTGGGCTGGGTTTTAACTCCTTAGGTTCATCTCGTACCTTTCCTCCTGTGAGCTCCAGGTAGCGTAGGTGGCTCTCTTCTTCCAAACCTTATACTCCAAAGGTATGTTAGATTGAGAGCATCCTCGGCTTGGGATCAACTTTTTGAATTTCATTGGTCAATGGGAACGTGATCCTGGATCTTCCAACTTCCACGGCTGGCATGCAGAGCCCTCTCTGCGGGCACGCGAGCCATAAGTCACCGGATCACTAGTCCCTCCCACACACTGGTAACCAAACCTGAGGAGTCAGTTGCTGGCGTCCCGACAGGTGGTGGGCAAGGATCCGGAGCAGCTGGTGCTGGCGGCAGGTCTGGAGTGGGGTCTCGAGGCGCCTCTGTGCCTGGGATTCCCCCTTCCACCGCCTGCTTTTTGTTTGTTTGTTTGGGCACTTGGGCCCAAAAAAGTTCACCGTCACTCCTCTAGTCCAATGGTTCCCAGCCTTGGTTCCTCATATGTTCTGTGGAGAAGTCCAGAAATCCTGGCCAACATAGCTGGTGGTGAAGTCTTCTGGGAGTGGCAGTCCACGAACACCTGGTTGGTTGGTTGGTTGGTTGATTTATTTATTTATTTATTTATATGTCGCCCACACTACCCAAAGGTCTCTGGGCGGTTTACAACATTTAAAATACAATAAAAATTCAGAACAATTAAAATGCAATTAAAATATATATTAAAAATTGCCGTCAGACCCACAGCTAATATTATTTCAAGGTTGGGAACCACTGATCTGACCCCTTACACCATGCTAGTTCTCGGTAAGAATAATGGCTTGGAAGCATGAAGGGTAACTCCTCGGTATCTCTCTGTGGGTGACTTTGTTGATGGGCTGTGGTGCATGGAGGGGCTTAATTTTAAGGGAAACGGGGTGGTCATTCCCTCTCTCTTCTCTGCTTCATGTTTCTGCCCCCCCTTCTGCTTGCAGAGCAGACAGAACTCCTTCTTCTTGATGCCAACCAGCTTCCTCGTTCATGACCCTGAGCAGGAGAAGAACTTTGGGTTCAGCCTCACAGCCTCATTACAGAGAGCCCAGCAAGAAGGGGGGCTCTTCCAGGTAGGACTAAAATTAGCAACCCCCAACCCGTCTCACCCACAGCACCTCTGTTTCCAACTGGTCAGGAATTTGAGAGCAAGAAAGAATTCCTTTCTGCCACTTCCCTTGTCAGCGGAGGCACTGAAATCATTGTATCTGTTTGCATTTCTCCCTGGTACCTCTGGATATAACTGGTAATTGTACTGTCATGCTAGTGATGCCCAGCCTTGGGTCCCCAGATGTTGTTAGACTAAAACTCCCAGAAGCCTTTACCATTAGCTGTGCTGGCCAGGATTTCTGGGAGTTGTAGTCTAAGAACATCTGGGGACCCAAGGTTAGGAACTGCTGCTATATGTCAGTCAGCATGCTTGTTTTATTGTGAGTTTCCTGGTTCATTGTGACAATTCTTGCAATGCAGGGAGAGGGTAAAGTGAGCTGCCCCTCAGGTTGAATGGAACAGAGTGGGGTTGATATACATGAAGATTCAGAAAATCCGTAGCATTGGGAATGGTGTGATTGATAGCTTGCTGGACTGTTGCACACTGTCTGGCTGCTTTCCCCTTGTTGGACGTTGTGGGGATCGGTTAGGTGGAGCTTCAAAAAGTTTGTGGTCAGGGGTACAAGCTCCAGAATTCCCCAGCCAATCCAGCTACTGGGCATGCTAGCTAGAGAAAGTTTAAATGTCATTCCAAAAAAAAAGTATTTTTGTTAGCTCTGGCACTGCAAGTCGAAAGTTCTTTTTTCAGAAAGAAAAATGGGCAGCTCTACAAGGAAGAAAAAAGGGTGAAATCTTCAGCTAAAGTCCTAATTCTAAGCCCAGCACAGTTCAGATAATGTCCTTTAGCAGCACTTTTGCGGTGAGGAGACCTGAGTGCAAGGTACTCTTCTCAAAGGACATTATCTGTTCTTGCACCATGTATTTCCCCCCTGCCCCCAGCATCAGACGCTTCCTCTACTACAATACACCTGCAACAAGACAGACTAATCACCCATCTACAGAAATAGACAAAAGCCTATCTCACAGCCATAAATACTGCACTCCCAAGCCAACTACACCAGAGCACAGAGTGCTATCCTCTGAAGATGCCAGCCACAGAGACTGGCAAAACGTTAGGAAACACAACCTTCAGAACACGGCCAAAGAGCCCGAAAAACCCACAACAACTGCTTCCTCTACTGTTTGTCCTGTTTTTATCTTGGATCCCTCATTTAGCCATCCTTCTTAAACCTTTGGTCCCTCTCCCACAAGAGAGAACAGGCTGCACCCTGAACCTGTCTCGTTTTTTCCCAGGGCTATGAGATCCACGTCACCCCGAATGTCAAGCCAGAGCCTGAGCACATGAGAGACATTGTGAAATGCAGCGGAGGGACCTTCTTACCCAGAATGCCTCGAGCCTATAAGGTGAGAGAGATTGTTTGCAGGAGCTCCCTGGACGAGTTATAATGTGGGTATAAAAAAAGGGCTTGGGGGTGTGTAGTATGATTATACTGTAGTTTCTATGGACGGAAAAGAGCAGATACGGATTAAATGGTTTTCAATGCATTCCTATGGGAAATGCAGATTCAACATAAGAACTTTTCAACTTGAGAACCACCTTCCAATACGGATTAAGTTCTTAAGTAGAGACCCCACTGTATCTTATTCTTTCTGAGCATCAGACCCTCTGACGGTTTCGTCTCTTTTATGAAGGACAAGCGTGTGGTTGTCTCCTGTCCGGATGACCTGTCCCGGTGTAAACCAGCACAAGATGCCGGAATACCGATCGCCAATTCAGAGTTCATCCTGACAGGCCTGTTACAGCAGTGCATTGATCTGGAGGCCCACCAGCTGGAAGGGGTGGGTGCCTCCCCAACTCCCATCACCAGGGCAAGCAAGCGGAGGGCGGTGGCCCCAACAGCGCCCCCCAGCACGGCCAAGAGACGGCGCTGATCCTGAAATATAGCTTACCAACCTTGCCTTAAACTTGTAAATAGTATTTTTTTTTAAGATCACTGCCAATAAACTGGGTATATATATAAAAAAACCGACTGTTGTGAAACAGGGCATTGTAAGGCTGGGGGACGGGGGCACGGAATCTCTCTGTGGCGAGGGAAAAATAAGAATTTAATGTAGTAATCAAATCAGTTTCTTGTGGCGTTTCCACCAGTTCTGCTTTGATGGACTAAAATTAAATTGCATTTCCTTGTAAATAGTGCCATCTTTCTGAGATACTTCGGCTGTAATCCTGTGCTTCTTTAGGTAAAGTCTGTGTGCGTGGCATTGGCTAATGGGTAAGGTAACCGGCTTGTGTTTGGATGACTGACAAGGCAGAGGACCAAGAGGGAGCTGTGGTTCGCTGTAGCAAGTTATTGAAACACAAATATGATTCAGCAATGAAGAGTCACCCCTCCTGTAGAAACCTCAATCCCAAGGTGGATGCAGGGGCTGTGCCCATGTGTAAAGCAAAGCAAAGCGTGCTGCTTATAGTCCCAAGGTGGATGCATGGGCTGTGCCCATGTGTGGCTTACCATGGGTAAAGCAAAGCAAAGCGTGCTGCTTATATACCACCCCATAGCGCTTCAAGCACTTGCTGGCTGGTTTACAAGTTAATTATCCAGGCTCCACATTGCCCCCCCCCTGATCTGGGTACTCATTTTACCGACCTTGGACCGGTACAAGTTAATTATCCAAGCTCCACATTGCCCCCCTCCCCAGCAAGCTGGGTGCTTATTTTACCAACCTCGGAAGGATAGAAGGCTGAGTCAACCTTGAACCGGCTCCCTGGGATTGAACCCCAAGCCATGAGCACAGTTTTGGCTGCAGTGCAGCAGTTTAACTATTGCGCCGTGAGAGGAGTCAGCCCTGCCAAGCTACTTGGGCTTCCAGAGCCGAACAGAAAGACTAATTTCACTTTCTAGCCTACCAGAGTGAAGGTGTAGGACCAGCTCTTCAAAGGACACTCGCAATAAACACATGTGGAGAAGGTTTTATTTTATTTAAAGAATAGGACATGCCCAATGAGGCAGAAGGAATACTTAAGCCAAGTCTTTAGACAGCTTGAGAACAATCGCAACGAGAGAAATAATGAAGATAACTCAGCCTAAGCCGTTCCTTACAAAGTAGAGACCTCATAGCAGCAGTAAAAGACTTGCACAGCTGAGCAGATTGCAACCCCTACCAAGGTAATGATAGGCTAACATCAAAAGAGAGGAAGGCCGTTAATGGTCTGGTCTAGCTCTATACCTTAACCCTTACAGTGATGACACCCATCTGATCTCAAGACAATCTCAGCCCAGTTCCATCGGGACCCTCTGGAGCACAGGAGAAATTACAAAGATAATTCAAGACGGATCAAAGTTGGGGGTCTGTCGTTCCGGAGCTTTATTTCAAGGACGAAAGATTTGTGGTTCAAATCCACCTAGAATTCACTCCCAATCTAGAAAATTGATTCCAATTATTCAGAACTGCTTTGGGGGCAACTGAAGGGATGCAGCAACTGAACCTGCTTTTTTTTTTAACCGAGTAGCATTAAACTTGTAATGAGACTGTAGTTATAGGACAATGGCCCTGTGGATGTGTGCAAAGGCACCCCTTCCTCTGACATCATTAGACGTCGTTGGATCAACCTCTTTTAAGTTTTAGGCCCAATATTTCAATATCATCTTTAATTTCCAGTAGTGCTTTGTATATCTCTGCTTTCATTTCAATCAGTTTTCTCCATTGTCACAGTCAAATCTTTTAAAATTGCTGTAGTATTTTTCTGTGTTAGTTTCCCCATTTCTGATTTAATTTCCAATGCATGTTCTCCATTTTATAAAAAAAAATTCAGCTAGCAGTGTAGCCTCTTCTTTTGCTGTTTTCCTTTTAGGTATGGCTCCAAAATTTGCACTCTGAGCCAACTCTTTACTATCAGAGCTGAGATTTCCTCCTTCCAGTGGTAATCTTACGGCCTTCAATTTATCAAGTTCATGGACTGTCAGAGTTTCCCTTCCTTCTTGGATCTTGTCTGTATACCTACGTTTACTGTTTTCCCAACATGGTGCCAAATACTGTCTTAATGGATCAGGGAGATCTGGTATTCAAACAAAGCCATGTCAAAGGTATACTTCTGTACGATGACTGTAGATTCATATCATACCAATTTTACTACCACGACTAAGGGTGAATTAGAGAGCTCTTAAATGGAGAGTTTAAAAAAGTAACTGGATGCTATTTTAATTTCTGTGGATCTAAACTATGCTTTCATTATTTCTATTTTTGTTCATTTAACATATTCCTGCTCTTTTCCTGTGATCCACCTTTTGTCCCATTCATCGGAGAAAGACTCATAAAGAATTAATAGGCAGAATAAATAACTGAAGCTGCAGGAGAACATCTGGCACAGAAACAGCTTACATTTCAAATGCAGCTGTTTTCTATTTCTGACAAATTCTAAAGAATGGAGATAATGCATCGTCTGCAGGATGACAAAAAAAAGGATAAACTTTCTCCTTAAACGAGGCCCTCTGTGAACGAAGGTGAGACCCATCACTTGCATTATAGAAAGAAACTTGGCCTTCCTCATAAGCTAGGTACACTCCAATCCGACAACGTGGCGGACCATCAGGGCTAGTTTCCTTCATAATTTTTTGATGTACACCCCAGATCTTGTGCTTTAAATCTTCAAGACATTTTTTTCCTCTGGCAGACTCTAAAGATACACCAATAAACCACTGGTTTTGAGTTCGAGTCTCTATTTCCCAATAATGTTTGCCTGAAATGAAGCCAGTTGTTCCAAGCACAGTCCACACGTCCTTCGTCTCAGAGTTTGGTTCTTTTTTATTCTGCATATAATAGATGTGGGTCACTCTTGGTTTTCTACAGACACTTGTTCCATTGTCGTTGATGATAAGCTCAGGATGAGCAGTCTTGGGATCCAGCTGAATACTTTCTAACTCTGGAAAGAAAAAGGAAAGAATTACATTCAGTCATTCTTTCAATTCATGTTCTGACTAAACGCAATCCACCCGGAGCAGGAATTGGCAATGCCACTCCAGTATCTTTGCCAAGAAAACCCCATGATCAGAAACAAAAGGCTAAAAGATAAGAAGCTGGAAGATGAGCCCCTCAGGTCGGAAGGCGTCCAACATGCTACTGAGGAAGAGCGGAGGACAAGTAGCTCCAGAGCTAATGAAGTGGTTGGGCCAAAGCCGAAAGGACGCTCAGCTGCGGACATGCATGGAAATGAAAGTCCAATGCTGCAAAGAAAAATACTGCATAGGAACCTAGAATGTAAGATCTATGAACCTTGGTAAGCTGGATGTGGTCAAACAGGAGATGGCAAGAATAAACATTGACATCCTGGGCGTCAGTGAACTAAAATGGATGGGAATGGGTGGATTCAATTCAGATGATTATTATATCTACTATTGTGGGCAAGGATCCCGTAGAAGGAATGAGTAGCCCTCATAGTCTCCAAAAGAGTTGGAAAAGCTGTACTGGGATACAATCTCAAAAATGATAGAATGATTTCAATACGAATCCAATGCAGACCTTTCAACATCACAGGAATCCATGTTTATGCACCAACCACCGATGCTGAAGAGGCTGAAATTGACCAATTTTATGAAGACTCACAACACCTTCTAGAACTGACACCAAAGAAAGATGTTCTTCTCATTATAGGGGATTGGAATGCTTAAGCATGGAGTCAAGAGATAAAAGGAACAACAGATAAGTTTGGCCTTAGAGTTCAAAACGAAGCAGGGCAAAGGCTAATAGAGTTTTGTCAAGAGAACAAGCTGGTCATCACAAACACGCTTTTCCAACAAAACAAGAGGCAACTCTACACATGGACATCACCAGATGGGCAATACTGAAATCAGATTGATTATGCTCTCTGCAGCCAAAAATGGAGAAGCTCTATACAGTCAGCAAAAACAAGACCTGGAGCTGATTGTGGCTCTGATCATCAGCTTGCAGAACTCAAGCTTAAACTGGAGAAAGTAGGAAAAACCACTGGGTTAGTCAGGTATAATCTAAGACAAATCCCTTATGAATACACAGTGGAAGTGAAGAGCAGATTTAAGGAACTAGATTTTGTGTACAGAGTGCCTGAAGATCTATGGATGGAGGCTCGTAACATTGTCCAGGAGGCAGCAACAAAAAACTTCCCAAAGAAAAGGAAATGGAAGAAAGCAAAGTGGCTGTCCAATGAGGCCTTACAAAGAGAAGGGAAGAGAAGGGATGGGAAACAAAATGCAAAGTAGATAGGGAAGGTTACAGAAAATTGAATGCAGGCTTCCAAAGAATAGCAAGGAGAAACAAGAGGGCCTTCTTAAATGAAAAGTGCAAAGAAATAGAAGAAAATAATAGAAAGGAAAAACCAGTGATCTGTTCAGGAATATCGGAGATATTAAAGGAACATTTTATGCAAAGATGAAGATGATAAAGGACAAAAATGGGAGGGACCTCACAGAAGCAGAAGACATCAAGAAGAGGTGGCAAGAATACACAGAGGAACTATACCAGAAAAATCTGGATGTCCTGGACAACCCAGATAGTGCGGTTGCTGACCTTGAGCCAAAATCCTGGAGAGTGAAGTCAAGTGGGCCTTAGAAAGCCTGGCTAACAACAAGGCCAGTGGAGGTTATGGCATTCTAGTTGAACTATTTAAAATCTTAAAAGATGACGCTGTTAAGGTGCTACATTCAATATGCCAGCATGTTTGGAAAACTCAAGAGTGGCCAGAGGACTGGAAAAGATCAGTCTACATCCCAATCCCAAAGAAGGGCAGTGCCAAAGAATGCTCCAACTACCATACAATTGCACTCATTTCACATGCTAGCAAGGTTATGCTCAAAATCCTACAAGGCAGGCTTCAGCAGTATGTGGACCGAGAACTCCCAGAAGTACAAGCTGGATTCCGAAGAGGCAGAGGAACTCGAGACCAAATTGCTAACTTGCGCTGGATTATGGAGAAAGCCAGAGAGTTCCAGAAAAATATCTACCTCTGCTTCATTGACTATGCAAAAGCCTTTGACTGTGTGGACCACAGCAAACTATGGCAAGTTCTTAAAGAAAGGGGAGTGCCTGACCACCTTATCTATCTCCTGAGAAACCTATATGTGGGACAGAAAGCAACAGTTAGAACTGGATATGGAACAATTGATTGGTTCAAAACTGGGAAAAGAGTACAACAAGGCTGTATATTGAAACACAAGCCGGAATTAAGACTGCCGGAAGAAATATCAACAACCTCAGATATGCAGATGATACTACTCTGATGGCAGAAAGGGAGGAATTAAGGAACCTTGTAATGAGGGTGAAAAAGGAGAGTGCAAAAAAAAAAAACAACGGTCTGAAGCTCAACATCAAAACAACTAATATAATGGTCCCATCACCCCCTGGCAAATAGAAGGGGAAGATATGGAGGCAGTGACAGATTTTGCTTTCTTGGACTACATAATCACTGCAGATGGTGACAGCAGCCACGAAATTAAAAGACGCCTGCTTTTTGGGAGGAAAGCGATGACAAACCTAGACAGCATCTTAAAAACCAGAGACATCACCTTGCCAACAAAAGTCCAAATAGTCAATAGTCGGATAGTCACTTCATTAGCTCTGGAGCTACCTGTACTAGTCTTCCGCTCTTCCTCAGTAGCATGTTGGACGCCTTCCGACCTGAGGTTCCCATCTTCCAGCATCATATCTTTTAGCCTTTTGTTTCTGGTCATGGGGCTTTCTTGGCAAAGATCCTGGAGTGGCTTGCCAGTTCCTGCTCCAGGTGGATTGCGTTTAGTCGGAACTCTCCACTATGACCTGTCCGTCTTGGGTGGCCATGCACGGCATAGCCCATAGCTTCTCTGAGTTACTCAAGCCCCTTCGCCTACGACAAGGCAGCAATCCATGAAGGGATGCTTCAGTATTAGAGCCACTCAGTTGCTTCTGAGTTTTGTAAGTTCCACAGTAAAACACTTTGTACTTCTCTGACTGAAAGCTATCCGTTTCAGTCCGCTTTAGTTCACTGACACCAAACATTGCAATGTTTCTTTTCTTGCTTTGCAGTTTATTTTGATTTATACTTCTCCTATTCCATGTTCCAATTGTATATGTTATGCAGCATGGGACTTTCACGTCTATGCCCTTAGCCACTAGATGTCCTTTTGGCTTTAATCTACTGCATCATTAGCACCGGCACTATTTGTACTTATCCTTTGCTCCTCCTTAGTAACTGATTGTCTGCTTTCTGGCCTTGGGGGTCATATCTTCCAACATTATCTCTTGTTTCATTTTGGACTGTCTCAGCTGGACTGGTTTTCATGGTAAGGAAAGTTGAGTAGTCGTTTACCATTGACACCTTTTGCGCAATACTAATGAAAGTTAGCTTTAGTGCCTCCACCGTTGCCGCCTATGCCAGTGTCACGTTCAGATCCACCCCCATCACCATTGGAAGAATCTAATGGGACTGTGTATCTCTTTCTGGCTTCTTCCCCTACAAGTATTTTAAAGCAGAGACCTACCAAGGCAGTGCCTCCCCACAGGACAAGGTGTAGCACTAAGTGTGCACTTGGAGTCACAAGAAGAGTCACATGTTAAGAGATATGGGTCCTGAGCCTCCCAGAGAACATCCAGGGGGAACCTTGTTGTTGTTGTTGTTTAGTTGTTAAGTCATATCTGACTCTTCGTGACCCCATGGACCAGAGCACGCCAGGCCCTCCTGTCTTCCACTGCCTCCCGGAGTTTGGTCAAATTCATGTTGGTCGCTTCGATGACACTGTTCAACCATCTCGTCCTCTGTCATCCCCTTCTTGAACCTTGATACAAATTATTTTTTTGTATTCCTTCCCGCACTTACACTTAGTGCATCATTACCTTCCCTAAATCACTTCCTCCCATCTTATATTGTTTGCTAAGGGACAAAAGGATGACAGATTCCTTTGAAGAGGAGACCTATGATGAAGAACCTGCAGTTCTAGAAAGTGAAGTGAAAGCTGTTGTGAAAGCATTAGGTGGAAATAAATCACAATAGGCAGATAGGAGAGGAACAACTCACCTTGCAGATTTTTATCCAGATTGCTGCCAATGTGATGCAGCTCTAGACTTATTTAATCCTTGGCCCATGACACGTATAATCAGAGGTAGCACAGGCTTGTGCTGGGCCACTTCTTTTATTGAAAAAAACCCCACAATTAAGAGCACAGTACTTTGCAAATCTACATTATTTGGGTTTTTATAGAGTAAAAAAATTCCCCTTACCCCAAAAGCTCCTTCTGTTATGTACTAATTACTTCTAACCCTTGCACTGCCTCCGGCCTGGTGCCTATGATGGAACTCCGCCCTTCCTTCCCCACTTAATCCTCAGATATCATGGGCCCCAACTAGGAAAATACTTTTAGAAAGCACTCTGTGAAAGAAGGACGACTTGATTACAATCAAACTGTTGCTTTTAGATACCTTGTGCAAAGACAGGATACAGTGGTCTATAGGCCAGGTGCTGAGCGGGACCCTTGAACTTGCCTGGGGAGAGTTGACAGCAAAGAACACCAAGATGGTTCTCGTCTCCTTTAGGTGTCGCCTCCTTCTGTGATCTTAGTCTGGTACGGAGGAGTTTGAACAACAGTTACAGCAAAGTGGGGCCATTTCTGATATACAGTACACATGCAACAGAATGAGGTGTGAATGATGGGGTTGGCTCCACCTTCTTGTTGTCGGTTGAGGATCCCATTTTTAATTGGATCTTCTATTTTAAACATGTTATGGGGGGGGCTGGAAAATAGAAGAACGAAAGAACACATCCCACCCTGTTGAAGCGCTATAACCCATGCTATCCTCTCATTCTGCAGCTGTAGCCTTGGCCCTAGGGTTCAGTTTAGAGATGGGGGTACTGGTATTCATATATGAATACCCCCCCACAGGTGGACGCGATAAAGGCCAGACCGTCCACTCATGTGTCTGCTGCTGGATTGGGACTGTACCACTTTAATCCAGACAACAGATGTTCTTGGTCAATCACACAGCAAATCAGGGGACAGGGGTCGCAGCTTGTGCTGGGTGGGGTGACACGTCCCCTGAAAACACAGGCGTACAGCTTTGGGGGGGTGGCTCCTGGATTCCTCTCGGCGCTTCGTTGCCCCGGTTCCGGCGGTGGCCGGGAGCGCCTTTGCACAGTTAAAACTAGCGTGGAGAGGCCTAACCAGGCCATAGGGACACACACCTTAGTGACATCCTGGCTAGATTACTGTATGTGGGGCTGCCTTTGGAAAGACTTTGGAAACCTCCTCAGGCCCTAAACGCAGACCTCAGATGGGGCTGGTTACAGGGAGCCTGATTTACAACAGCTTCACCGGCTACCAATCTGTTTCGGCTACCAATCTGTTTTGCACGAGGAATCCGTGCAAAAACACAGCGGGCGGCCATTTTCTTTACCCAGCGGCCATTTTCGGGGCCCAATTCAAAGAGATGGTTTTTACCTATAAACCCCTCTGTGACTTGGGTCCAGGCTATTGGAAGAATCATATCAACCCAGATGAGCTTTCTCAGTCTTTCAGATCTTCTGGGGAGGCCCTTCTTTCGGTTCCCCCCCCCGCCCAAGGGAAGGGCTCCTCAGTCAGTGCCCGCTCCCAGGCTTTGGCATGAGCTGTCCAGAGAAACCAGGTTGGGAAGAGGGATTGAAAGGGGTCACCCTAAACCTACAGTGTGGGGTGATGCAGCCTAGAGAAAGCTGTGCCCAGCCCTGGGTTCAAGAATAATCTAGAGGCTAGGAACTGCCTTTTTAACTTCTCCCTTTTAACTGCCCAGTGAGGATGCTGCATTGGGGGCGCTGGGAGAAATCCAGACAGTGAATCTTCTTGTCAACCGTTCTCTCTGGTCCAGGCTATTAAACATATTTCTTTAGCACCTACTCAAACGACTCAACCACTTCAAAGAGCAACTTACAGGCCCAGAAACGGACGTATACCCTAGAAGAAAAGGACAGAAAAATCACATGAGCAAGTCTCCTTCAAATCCAGGCATGCCTGCTTTCTTCTACAAGACTCTAGATAGAAATGTCCCAACAATCCAAAAATGTCCCTCTTTTGGACCTCACCTTTCCATCCTGAAATTCCCTGGGCTTCATTCTGTTTTCAGAGAACTGTGGAATGCTAGATTAGAACCCTTCTCTTCATTAATTGTTTTTCTCCAGAGGGCCAAAGAAGCTGGGTCCCCCCCCCCGCTCAAACTGCCCCTAACTGACCAAACTTCGTTCTTTTCCCAAAGAACTCCAACACTTTCTTTCTCTGGCACTAAATTTCAAAGGGACCCATGGGAGAACTAAGCCCCTGTACCTACGAGGTGGTATTGTGATTTCCCATAACGCCCCTCCCCCAGGAAGTGTTATGCTAGGGCAATGGTTCCCAACCTTGGGTAACCAAGGTGTTCTTGGACCGCAACTCCCAGCAACCCTGACTAGCACAGCTGGTGGTAAATACTGCTGGAACCTACAGTCCAAGAACACCTTGGTTACCCAAGGCTGGGAACCAGAGATGTGCATAAACCAGTTCGTCCTGGTCGATAAAGGTTGCGGCCTGCCTCCTCTGGCTCAAGCACTCACCAGGCCCAGCGTGCTAGCCTTCCTGCACCTCCTCAACTGATCTTCCAGTCCCGGCAACTGCTCAGGCTTCTCTGCCCTGCTCTTTTGGTGATCCCCACTCAGACAAACAGGGGAGGCAGAGAAGTCTTTGCTTTTGCTGGTGATGGGGAGATTAGCCAAGGGGTGGTGGTGGAAAAAAACATGCAAGCTGGGCCTGGTGAGTGGCTGATTGGCTGAGGAGGCAGGGACAGGGACTGGCAGCACACAAACTGGGATAAACTGGTTCATACCCACCTCTGTTGGGAGCCACTGGGCTAGGACACTGTGTGAAACTTAAAGGATAGCTTATTTATTTATTTATTTATTTATCCCCCGCCTATCTAGTCATTTCAACCACTCTAGGCGGCTTACAACATAAAGCATAACAAGTTCAAGAAAAATTTATAACAATTAATTAATTAAATGATTCTGCGAGATGGGGAAAATACAAAATAAATCAAATAAAGAGAAAAAAAGGAAAGAGGTCAGGAATTAACTTGAAGGGAAGGCCTTCCTATACACCCACGTTTTTAGTTGGTTCTTTAAAATACCCAGCGAGGGTGCAGTGCGAATCTCCGGAGGCAGGTTATTCCAGAGGCGAGGAGCCACCGCCGAGAAGGCCTGGTTTCTAGTTCTTTCCTTCCGGGCCTCCCTCGGCGTTAGGGTCCTCAGCCTCACCTCCTGGCTCATTTTCAACTGGGAAAACAAGAGGAATGGATGCTGGAGGTCGAAGATGCCAAGTGATGTTACTGGGCCTGCATTTACCAGAGAATAAGTCCACTCAATATTTCTGTTGGGTTTTTTTTTTTGCCAAAATCCTGTTGCTTAGTGTAGTAAATCACACTAGAGTATGCCCATTTCATTAGTGGGAATTTGGTGAGGTTCCATTAATTCAAATGTCTTGTCCTAACTGTGGCTTACTATGGTAAGTAAGTCACAGTTACAATTGGCCCATTAGAATCAGTGGATCTAATGGAGAAGTTGATTCAGTGGGTCTACTCTGCTATAATTTACTATGCTAGGCAACATGTCAGACTGAGGATGTGCCAGACACTGGTTTACCACCTTAGTAAAAACTGGCCTTGATTATATTTCCACCCTGATCACCTTTTTTTGGTGGAAAGGCAAAACATATAAATAAAATGAAATAAAATCTCTTCCCAGGAATCAATTCCTGAACAGCCAAAGTTGTGAGTAACCCTGAGCTCTCTTGCCAATGGGGGAAAAGTCATTGACATTATGTGATTTACTTCTGAATGACTGTATTTGTTTAAATCATCTCCTTTCCTTTAAAAAAGAGTCCTTCCCTGACCCCATAGCTCAGTGGTTCAGGTATCTAGCGATCGGGCACCCTGCCTCCCTGACAGGGGCTGGGCTCAATGACCTATAGATTCCCTTCCTATTATGATTATGCTTGCTGAAGAGCTGTAGCCTTACCACGAGGAAGCTGCACGGGTTGTTCCGTGCCATGCATGTTTTTCCCTGGTGTAACATTTCCTTGGCAGCACGTAGACTCTCTTGGATCTGTTGCAAATGAGAATCCATATCTTTGTGTGCAACTTTCTCATCATTATCCAGTTCTGTAAGCATGGCAGCTTTCCTGTTTCGCAGGGCTTGGTGCAGCTCACAGAACTTGCCCTCAATGTTTGTGCGTAAGGATGCCGCTGAGTCCTGAAATAAGAGGAGGGGGGTGTATCATCCTGTGCATCGCTTAGAACCTAACAATGGGAGGGGGGGGAGATTCTCTTTCTTTAGTGCTGGTTTTATTCTGTATTTGCTCTGTGATTACGTAGTAATACTCAGATGCTCATGATGGTTAAGGATTTCCCTTTTTCAGTTACAGGTTGTCTTTAACAGTTTCAGTCCATTAAAAAGATCTTTCTCAGATTTTGCTTAGAATATAAAAAGAGCCATGCTGGATCAGTCCCACGCTTTACCACATCCTTTACTTTATGTTTACTTTGAACAGTCTAGTCTAGCACTCTGTTCACATGGAGGCCAAGCAAATGTCCTTAGTAGATGCAGCATGGTAGTTTCTGCAAACCTTGCTGTTTCATCAGCTCTAAAGGCCTTTAAAGGGGACCTGCTGCCAGAAGGAAAGAGTCAATTTGTTTACAATCTGGGCACCTACCATTCTTGCCTTGCCTTCAGCTTTAAAAGCCCCCACAAGGCAGTTGCGGCTACTCTAAGTGCATATGAAAGAGGTATGTCCTGCTGTTCTTTGTGTTTTTCAATGGGTTGTTCCTCCAGAAAGAAGTTGGTTTTCCAGTTTGCCTCTCCTAATATTCTTCTCTTTGGGAACAATCAGGCCAAGTATGGCTATCTAGATAAGGGTGCCATTTTAAAGCTCAGGATATGTGCCTGGTGAGATGTGGGTGTCTTCCTCATTCTTGAGAGATGACTATCTGGAGCACCTGGTGGTTTTTGTTGCTGTTGTTGTTTTTTGCTTATCTTTTCCTTTTGTTGTGAAACCAACAGGACGGTGGTTAAGTTCAGAGGAGAGGGACAAGGATGATCAGGGGGCTGGAAAAACCAAGCCTTATGAGGAAAGGCTGAAATAACTGGGCATTGTTTAGCCTTGAGAAAAGAAGGCTGAGGGGGCGATACGATAGCACTTTTCAAAGATTTGAAAGGCTGTGGTACAGAGGAGGGGCAGGATTTGTTCTCAATCATCCCGGAGTGCAGGACACGCAACGATGGGCACAAGTTCCATGGAGCCAGATTTTGGTTGAATATCAGGAAAAACTTCCTAACTGTTAAAGCAGTATGATAGCGGAACCAGTTACCTCGGGAGTTGGTGAGTGCTCCAACACTGGAGGCATCCAAGAAAAACTCAGATAATCACCTGGTAGATATGATTGTATTCCTACATTGAGCAGGGGGTTGGACTTGATAGCCTTGTATGCCCTTTCCAACTTAACTTTTCAATGATTCTATGGTACGCTGTTGCAAACAGTGAAATGTGCAGTGCAGGTTATCATGTCAGTTTTTAATATTAACCAACATGTTGCTGGCTGGATAGCTCAGCGAATTAGGTATCTAGCGGTGGAGCCAGAGGTTGGGAGTTCCATTCCCCACTGTGCCTTCTGTGAAATAGAGCCAGCCTCCGTGGCCTTGGGCCAGCTGTACAGTCCTGGACCTGCCCCTAGAAGAAGGCAATGGTAAACCACTGCTGAGCATTCTCTACTGGAACACTCTCAAAAGGGTCACCATAAGTCGGAACTGACTTGACTGCGTACTGCTTTGTGACGCCCTTATTGAAACAGCTGAAATACTAAATGATGTGTAACTCAATGTCATTATGTACCGTGGTGCCTTGCATAGCGAGGGTAATCCGTTCTCATGAGAAGAAAAGAGTCCTTGGAAAAAACCTTGATGTTAGGAAGGTGTGATGGCAAGAGGAGAAGGGGACGACCGAGGATGAGATGGCTGGACAGTGTCTGCGAAGCAACCAACATGAACCTGACACAACTCCGGGAGGCAGTAGAAGACAGGAGGGCCTGGCGTGCTCTGGTCCATGGGGTCACGAAGAGTCGGACACGACTAAACGACTAAACACACACACACACACACACACACACATGTGAAAACATCGCTGGACGGAACGGGGAAAGCCATTGGAATGCATTAAACTTAGTTTATTGCATTCCAATAGGCTCCAAAACTCACCGTTCAGCGAAGTTTTCCTATGGCTGGCAGCCATTTTCACGCCCTCGGTAAGCGAGGGGAGGGCGCGAAAATGCTGCGCGCGGCCATTTTGGGGCTTCCGGTGGCCATTTTGGAGCCACTGAACAGCTGATCCGCGGCTTCGTTTTGCGAAGATCGGTAAGCGAAACACTTACCGATCATCGCAAAGCGATTTTCGGCCATAGGGGCCATCGGTATGCGATCGCATTTGCAATCGCAAAAATGTCCTCGCTATGCGGATTCGTCGTTCTACGGTGCGCTTGTTAAGCGAGGCACCACTGTATTATAATTATGCTTGCTGTGTTTTATATGTTTCTCTGGACTGCTTTCAGCAATGACTACTTTGGCAAATGCAGTCTCTATCCACATATACATATATGTGTATTCAATGCCGTTATGAGTTGTGTCCAGGAAAAATGAGATCATCATGACGATAAAGGAAGAAAATAAGTGTCCTTCTATTTAATAGCATCAAGTACCATCTCTGTGTTAAGAACCTTAAAATACTCACGTATATTCTATTTTATTTAATTATAACCAGGAAATTAAACAGTGGCTACACTTGTGCCCAATGTGGTGTAGTGGAGAGAACGGTGGATTAGGACTCGAGAGATTTGGATTCATATTCCCTGCTTGGAAACTCCGGGGGGGGGGGCAATTGTAAAACCAGTTTTTAAATAACTCAATTATTTGAAGGCTCTATCGTTTCTATTTGTCAGTTCCGACTTGACAGCACACAAGGACATCTAGATCTACAAAACTACTGTATTTTAAAAGTGCTCTTGATTTACTTGCTTCAGAATGTCAGCGTATCATAGAGTACTTATCACTAGAGCCATCGCAGGCCAGCACAGGCTGGGGGGGATTTGAGGAGCTGTAACTCGAAGGCTATATTTCTCCAAGTTGTGTTTGTGAGCAATGCCTTCGCTTTTACCTTCAAGGAGCGTATTTCTTCTTTCTGGCCCTTTTCACAATCTGTTAGTTCCTTAACTCTGCTCTCCAGGGGCTCCAAGGCTTTGGACAGCTTCTGCTAAGGAAGGGGAAAAGGTGAATTTGTGAGATAGGGCAGGTCAGTCTGCTGGTGCCCACAGCTCTCCACAATCTCCTTTTCACTCACCTTGTAGGTCTCGGCCCCATCCTTCAAGGAGCTGAAACTGTGTCCAGTGTGGAGAGCTGAGTTGACACACTGAGAGCAAATGCAAGTCTCATCCGTAGTGCAGAAAAGCAGGAGATCATCTCCATGGACTTCACAACATTGCCTCCTCTGTCCACCTTCTCTTGCCTTCTCTGGCTCTTTCTCCTCAGCCTTTGCATTTTCCTTGGCAGCATCTCTGCTTGCTGCCTCTTGTATTTCCCGCGCTCTTTTTGCTAGGTTTCCCAGCAGCCGGTTCGGTTGAAACTCCCTGTAAGGACAGGGTGCCCGACAAGCAGGGCAAAAGCTGGCAACTTTCTCTTGGGTAACCCAGCACGAAGTGATGCATTTTCGGCAGAACCAATGTCCACACCTGAGCACCACCGGCTCAACGAACAAATCCAGGCAGATTGAGCAAGTGAGATCTTGCTGGAAAGCCTCCACCATGACCGCTGTTCCTGAGCCTGGGAGAATCCGCTGTTGCTTTCCTTTCCTCGATTTCTCTTCCCCTCTGAGCTGCCTCTGGCCCCTCTTTTAGAGGTGCCACCAGGACTGGCTGATCTCCATCTCTCTGAAGCGTTATGGTGAGTCAATTGCAAGGATCTTGAAAGGCAGCTGCTTCTCCCCTGTGGAGCAGATTCCTTTGAAAAGGCTCGTCTGGCCTCAGCATCTGGCCAAGATGACTTAAAAAACAACAACACTTTCCCCTTTCCTCTCTCCTCCCAGGTTTTATAACCACCAGGTTGACAAGGAGCGCTGCAAGATTTGAAAGCTACCCTGTTTTTCTGAGAGGTTAGAAGCCAAATAAACTCACAGACTTTTTCTTCTCTTTCTTTTTTGATGACTCATGAAAGTTGCCGTTAATAGATGGCGTAAGGGAGAGAGTGATGGATTAGGTGGGCTCTGGAGATCAGGGTTTGAATCCCCACTCAGCGTGGCAGGGGCAGATCTACTATGCAACTAATGAAGCTGACCTTTCAAGGCTCCTAATCCTGGAGAGGTCCCAGAAGCAACTGTAGTCCATATTTTTTAAAAAAATGTGTGATGCTCTCTTATGGAACAACCCCACTGAGTTGTTCCATAGCAACAAAGTCAACGTTTACATTCTAGAGCAGTGGCTCCCAACCTTGGGTCCCCAGACATTCCGGGCCTGAAACTCCCAGAAGCCCTTGCCAATGGACCTAGCAGTGAAGGTTTCTGGGAGTTTTAGTTCAAGAACGTCTGGGGACCCAAGGTAAAGAGAGCAACCCTCAGCCAAGAAGAACTGCATTTATTTATTTATTTATTTATTTAATACCCCACTATCTCGTCTTGCGACCACTCTAGGCGGCTTCCAAACAAGTAAAACAAGTAAAAAAACAACATATAAATGTAACAAATTAAAGAACATTTTTAAAATTGAACCAAGGATTACATCTGTCTCTGTCACCAAGTCATTTGGGGGAAAACTGAGGGTGTGATCACACCAGGAAACAGATCTCATTTTGAACCAGTTGTGCAGTGGCCTGGTGCCATCGGTTTCCCAACAATCGCACAATATAGGGGGGAATTATAACCTGACCGCTCTCCATACCAGACTTGGACCTTTTGGGGCCAGTCTGGAGTGATTCCCTGATCCCATGGCAGATCAGCCTCAACATATGTACAAGATGAGTTTTTTGGGAACTTATCCTTTGTCCCCCCCCCCACACCGCCCCCCGAAGCAAGAGGACTGTATGAAGGAAGACCTTTCAAAATGGAGTCCTTGGTCCTCATTTTAAAAGGTCACCTGGTTAACTCAGGGTAGAACTGCATGTTTCGATGACCGACTCTGACCTTCAGACCTGATTCATCCTCAGACTAAGGAAGAGCGGAAAGAAAGTGGAATAGAATAGGAGGGATGGCTTCTCACCAAATGCCTCTCGCTGCCCGACATTTTTATCTCAACTAGGCTTTGGGGCAGGAATCGCCTGGCAACGGTTAGGGAGTGGTAGTGGACAGAGGGAGGGGTTTCCCGCCTTCCGGCTCCCCGGCTGCTTCCTTGCTGGAAGTTGTTTTGTCCAGCTGTTTCCCTGCCCTTTGGCCCTGGGATGGAAGAGAATGTGGATGTGTTTAATTATCTACTTTGCCGCTCCAAAGACTCGTTATGGGACAAATCCACACATGTATGAGTTTTGTAGGGTTATTTTTAATTTTTTTATTTTATTTTTTGGAGAAACAAAACATACGCAAAAAGCACCCTTTGTGCAAGCAGGGACAAGTACCATCAAAAGGCACGCAGAAACCTGCTTTAGTGGACAAAGAGAGCGCACACAGGATTGCCTACGCAACTTTATGATTTACAGAGTTTAGAAGATGGCATTTTACAAGGATCGTGTTTGTGCGAGTCATGGTTTCTTGGCAACCGCTATCATTATTTTGGCGGCCATCACACAAGTAGAATTCACTGGCATGCATGCTCTTAATGTACTAAGGTTAGAGCAGGCTTTCTTACCTGGTTCATGTCCGAAGCAGCACGGTGCAATAAGGACAGAGATCAGATAATTTTCATCCAATCATGGAAAGTATCGAGTGCGTTTGGGGCAGCAAGCACCAAATCAAGGGCCACCGAGTACCCTGACAACTGTGTGACGCTGCCTGTTCTTCTCCATGCTCACAAAATATTGTGACAATATATTTTTTTCCTTAGGGTCATTTGAGTTCTCCCCACTCCTGTCTGTAGCCTATTAAGTGACGTCCAGGTAACCTAGTTTTCCAGGTGCCCAAGGGCTAGACTCCCATGTTCTTTCCTCCCATGTTATATACAGTACTGTATCTCTGTTGTTCCTTCAGACAGACTGGGAAAATGGAGGAATTATCTCCTGTTCCCTCTCGTGGCCAATGATAACACTGTAGCTTACAAAAACAAACAGAAAAAAAATAAAACCTAAAAATATTCTATTTTACCTTGGATAATAAAGTCAGCATTACTGATTACACCTAAAAATAAATGTTGGAGTTGCTACTTTTTACTTATTGTAAAAAGTAATTGGTTAGATGTAAGGTATTTTTGCCAGCTCTGGGTATTTAATGTTTTAATACCATAATTTGCATACTAGAATATGCTCATTCTCAAAAACGTGTGTCTGAGCCATCTTGAATCTTATAATAGAGGAAGATGGGTATAAAATAAATACCTTTCTGGCATCTGAGAACATGCCATTCAAATATTGTATACTCAAGTCTAGGTTCTTGATTTATGGAATATACATGAAAAGTCATATCACATTAGAGTTACAGTGGTGCCTCGCTTAATGAGTGCACCGTAGAACGACGAATCCGCATAGCGAGGAGGTTTTAGCGATCGCAAATGCGATCGCATACTGATGGCCTGTACTTTCATGTTTTATTTATTTGGAACATCATACAACGTCCTGCCATTCCACCTCAGACTTCAAGGCAACTTACAGAGTCATTAAAATGGTATACCCATAAACATAAGAATGAGATGTGCATAAAAACCAGTGCATACATAGCAAAAGAAACCATAGCAGTAACATCTCCATTGAGACCTTAAAACACTACTGTAAACCTTGGTGAATTAAATAGATTTTAAATCTTGTGTCTAAAGGTGAGGAACCGGATGAAGAGAGCTAAGGACTTGTTCCATGAGAGGGGCACCACCACAGTCAAAGCCCTGCATGTGTTAGCTAACCCCTATCTTAGAGGATGGCAACAACTCAACCTCTGATAATTAAAAAATACATTCTGATTAACAGTGACAAATTCTCAGGGAAACATCTTGCCCATCAACTCTTGACTTGATTGGATTATACTGGAAAAAAGGGTAGACTTTTTCCTTGAAAGAGACCCTGTGTGTATATAGATGAGACCCAGCTCTCACATCAGAGAAGGAAACTTGGCCCTTCTTATACTCCAGGTAGACACCCAACCTCGACCATGTTTTGGCAGACAAGCTGATGAGAAGGGAGAAAGAACACATATTAAATCAGACGATGCCTTTTCAGGTCCATCCTCAATCTCCATTGCCTCTAGACATCAGATCTTGCCCTTCAAAGAAGCTGGGTGGTTTTCTTCTTTTTTTTTTTGGAATGGACTCTAAGGCAACACCAATAATCCATTCCTTCTCATCTTTGAGCTCCACCTCCCAGTAGTGTCTGCCTGACCTGAATCCCTGTTGTCCCAGGACAACGGGATAGTTCTGAAATCGCTTTGGGTCATTGCAGGATACCTCAAGTTTCTCTCCAACAGTTACAGATGTGCCAGAGATGATAATAATAATAATAATTTATTGTCATTGTAAGTATACACATACAACGAAATTCATGATAGTGAGGCCAGGATGAGCAGTGCTGCCATCTAGTTGAATCGAGTCTATGAAATCTGGTGAGAAGAGGAAGGGAACGGGTTTAATAAATTCCATTCATCTTGCTCTACTCAGATCTATCTTACTCTATCAGTCAACTTGAAGTGACCACGAAAAAAAATGGCAAGAGAGCACCATAACCTTCCTGGTGTTGAACTTTAAAGAAGCAAGCAGGTTGTGACAATGATAATACTATAACTTCCTCAATCAGCCAAGAAGGCTGTTAGAAACAAAGAAATTAGCACACTGTAATGTTTCATCCATTTGGAAATTGAATTTTTGGATATTCTGGGAGTTCTACCTGCCAAATACCTAAATGTGGCTTATCTGGGAGAAAATTCTAGACTGGAAGGCTTTGAGGCTTAGCTCCCCTTAGCTTCCTGTTCATAAGGAAAGCTCCCAGCTAGCACCCGGACAGGAACGGGAAGTTAGGCCTAGCTTGGCCTCAAAGCCTTTCAAATGTGGCCTTTCTTTCAGGTGTCTGTCTGTCAGGTAGAACTCCCAGAATGGAAACTAATGGGATTTCTGAACCAAAAATCCCTTCCCAGGCACCCATCATATCTTATTTGCCTTATGCTGGAAAAACATTTGCCTAGTGGCATAAGCAATTTTCAGAGCTTTCTCTTAGGTACCTAGTTTGAGGATGGACCTTATTGAAGTCCATGTCAAGTACTGTGTTGGACCTTGGAACTTGCCCAGACAGAATTCCTTGGACACAACTGAGCAGTCTCCTTGGTTGTCTCTTCTCTTAGATGTTTCAGCAGACAAGCTAGTGAGAAGGGAGAAAGAACACATATTAAATCAAGTCCAGATGTTTTATTTCTCTTCAAAATTGAAGTGGGAAGAAGCTACACTTACACATCTAGGAACTCCCAGATACCCTGGCCAAGGAAAGAAAAGGCAAGATGGTTAGGAAGCTGGAACCTAAGCACTTACTTACTCTTTCTGTTCTTACTCTCAAGTACACTCCACCACCTATTTCAAGTTAGGCTCCACTGATAGGGTGGCATGGCCACACGTCCACTTTTAGGGAGGACAGCCCTCTTTGGCTGTCCAGTCCAAATCTGTTTTGAAGATAAACATAAGGAGTCAAGATCAGAGATCCTGAGCTTGCCCACCCAGAGTGACCACTTGCACAGCAGACTCAGCAGCCATGGAAGTCCAGTGCTTAGCGTAGGGTCCCGTATCCATGGGATCAGTTACCACTGATTCACTTATCCACAGTCTGAAAATATTAAAAAATAAAATAAAAAAAAATCCTGGACTAACTAACTAACTAACTAACTAACTAACTAACTAACTAACTAACTAACTAACTAACTAACTAACTAACTAACTAACTAACTAGTTAGGCATCCTTCAGTCTTGAAAGACTATGGTAGCGTGCTCTGTATGGAGGGCTTGGAACAGTGTCTAGTATGGCTGAGAAGGCCAATTCGAGAGTGACAGTCCCTTCCACACTGAAGACAAACCCAGTCTGTCCCCTGTCCGGCTCCCTGGTTTTGCTGCTTATGTGACTTCCTCTTTGCCTCGGCCTGCTGGGCAAGGGTCTCTTCAAATTGGGAGAGGCCGTGACTGACTGACTAACTAACTAACTAACTAACTAACTAACTAACTAACTAACTAACTAACTAACTAACTAATGGAGAAGTTACTAGAATTGGGCACTAGAGGGAAACAGAGACCATGCTATGTATAGCATGTTTGTGTTAACTATAATCTGCATTTTTTCAGCATCTGTGGGGCGCTTAGAAATGTGGATACGGGAGTCCTGTGAGGGGCATTTCAGTTCTATTTCAATTATAAAAATCATTTCTATTTTTCCTGCCTTGCTTATAAAATTAGCATCCGCCATTTTATACAGATCGGTGTCCTTTTGTCCGATTTGGGGAGATAATGCAAGTGGTTTACCCAAACCTTCCGTCCTCCCACAAACTAGTGGAATGCAAAGTCTTTGTTGCAATTCTTAGCCTACTTCTCTCTTTTCATAAGTGGCCAAAAAAATGTGGACTCGCTTACCAGGCTCCCCCTCACTGACCACACAGCCAAGTGGTCAGATCATCAGCCTCCCATCCCTATCCTCTGAGATTTCAGGACCAGCTCTTGAGAATGGGGTGGGTGGGTTCTTATGAGCCTGTGCCAGGGCATCTGGGGCAGTCAGCTGTAGAAACAGCCGCTTGGGGGAGCTGAAGACAGGGGTGTCCAAGCCAAGACCCTGGCAGGAAAATCCCATTTTGAGAGGAAGACAGGCAGGCAGCAAAACCTGTCCTTCAGCTATAGCAGTGCTCTGGATGTCAACACTCCTTTGATTTGCATTAAGGGCACCGGCAGGATGCCGTCAGATTTGCTTTCAGTTCCGGCTGCCCTTCCCATTTTAGCTTTGCCCAATCGCATACCATCCCTTTCTAGCAGCCCAGGTTTGACACCCTCCCCATCCTGCGTCTCCATTTCATTTTGCCTGTTCGGCTGCAGCCCAAAGCTTGGACGTTCTGTGGAGAATGACATTCAGAATCTCCCCATCCAGCTTGCCCAATTTTTTCCAATCTCTAAAGGTCAGAGATTGTGCAGACTTGGGGGGCAGGGGGAGGATTTCTGGGACCGGAGGAAAAGCCACTTTCCCAAGATTTGCTGCAGACCCTGCTTAAGAAATGGTGCTGTGGTTGCCTAACCATAAGGAACTGAACTTGGTCGGTCTCTGCCAGCCAGGCCTGTCCGTTGTTCACCACATTTCTGACGGCTGACAGGTTCTCGCGGATCTGTTGACTGCGGGCAGACATGTCCCGCTGCCTTGGCGTTTCTTCCTCATCCAGTTGCGCCAGGAGAGCACTTTTCCTCTGATTCAGGAACTGCTGCAGTTCCTTGAATTCCCTCTCAATGACTGCGCGGAAGCCCACCACTGATTTCTGCAGAAGAAGGAAGGGGAAATTAACAGTTCCTCCGGGTTGCTACACAAAGTTAGCATCTGCCATCACCCATCAGGCCTTCTGGGTTGTGGCCCCTGCCCTTTGGAATGGGCTCCAGAAGAAGTGCTGCCTGCCCCTTCCCTCCCTCCCAACCTTGAAGAGGTTACTCGCCCTTTGGAATGGGCTCCAGAAGAAGCTGCGCCTGCTCCCTCCCTCCCAACCTTGAAGAGGTTACTTAAGACAATACTCTTGACAGAGGTTTTCAGTGGCATCCTCACATGAATTAGCCAGCTTGTTCTGCTCACTTGATGTTCTTTGTTTCTCTCATGATGTTTTGACTTGATTTGATTTTACTTCTGTACCTTTTCTTGTTTATTTAATTCTTATACTTTTGTTTGATTATTAACTAAGCAGATTAGTGCCTTGCAATAATCAGGCAGTATATGAATGAATGAATGAATGAATGAATGAATGAATGAATGAATGAATGAATTTCACCCAGGGTATGGTGAAATACCATAATGTAGCAGCTAGAATGTTGGACTAGGATCCAGGAGACCTGTGTTCAAATCCCCACTCACCTATGGAATTCCCTGGTGATTTTGAGGCTTTCTCTCAATCTATCCTACCTCACAGGCTTGTAATGTAGCAGCTATAATGTTGGACAAGGATCCAGGTATTCAAATCCCCACTCACCTATGGAACTCCCTGGTGATTTTGAGGCTCTCTCTCAATCTATCCTACCTCACAGGCTTGTTTTGAGGAGAAGAGAAAAGGAGCACCACAGATACTGTCTTGGCAGGAAGGTAGGTGGAAATGCAGCAAATAATAAGTGCCCTTCTTCTGTTAATACACAAATACTTTATGTCCAAAATCACTGATTGATTGATTAGGCATACTTCTGTCTCGAGAGACTATGCTAATGTCCTCTGTATGGAGGACTTGTAACAGCATCTAGTGTGGCTGAGAAGGCCAATTTGAGAATGACAATCCCTTCCATACTGAGGACACATACAATCTGTCCCATCAGTTCCCTGATTTGGTTGGTTTCGGGAGTACTGTACCTCTTTGCCTCGGCCTGCTGGACAAGGGTCTCTTCAAATTGGGAGAGGCCATGATGCACCACCTGCCTCCAGGCTGAATGCTCAAGGTTTCCCATATGTTGAGGTCCATTCCTAAGGCCTTCAGATCCCGCTTGCAGATGCACTAATGAGGGTGACTGGTCCCATTGATGAGTGGAGCTGCAGAGACAGGATTATTTCACTCCCAACAGTAGGTGGAACAATGGATCTCAGCAGAGTATTTCTGACTGCAAAGTCAACACCATACTCCCTGGTCTCATTCAATGGTTTTCCCGGCCAAAAGAATGAGAAGTTTTTTTTCTTTGACATATCCCATGTCTGGCAATCTCGTCTCTTGCAGGGCAACAAATATCTATCTGCAGTCTACTCAGTTCCATGTCGATGACAGCTGTCTTTTGTGCATCATCTATTTCCTGCATGTCATCAGAAAAACCAGGGGTCAGTGTCCAAACGTTCCTGGTGCCCAACTTCAGGGCAGAAGTTTTCTTATGATTGTTGCATGGTGGAGGGTTATTGATCTGCTTGTTGGCTTTCACCTTAAACCTCACACACCCCATGAGGTTAACAATCCGTGGTGAGGCAGCACCTTACTGGCTGGGGGCTGCCCAGCTTAAAGCAGGCAGTAGGTACCTAGTGAGGTGCAATGACCTCTCCCACCGTAGGAAGTAGTCCCTGGTGTAAAGATCGCAGATAGATAATGGCTGGTAAGGGTCAGTGAGACATCCTGGATACAGGAAGTCCCATAAAAGATACCAAATTCTTTAAAACTGTTGTGGAAATCTGCTATCCCATCTAGATGAATATAATAATATCCCACCAAGTCAATTCTGACTTATGGTGACCCTTTTCAGGGTTTTCCACGCAGAGAATATGCAGAAGTGGTTTACCCTTCCTGTCTTCTGGGGAAGCCCTGGGACTGTGCAGCTTGCCCAAGGCCACACAGGCTGGCTCAACTCACAGGAAGCCCAGTGAGCAATTGAACTCCTACCTTCTGGCTTCACTACCAGAAACCTAAACCATTCCGCTATCCAGCCAGTTCCCCACCTAGATTAATTCTGTGAATATCTCAGTATTCCATAGTGTTATGGAATCTGATTCCATTCTACTTTAATAACCATGGCTTCACCCTGCAGAATCCTGGGATCTGGTGAAGGATTTAGAAAATTCTAGGTCCCTCGCTGAACTCCATACCCCAGCATCCTGAAAGGTACAGCCCTATCAGTTTAAGAGGACTCAAACTGATATCACTGTATAGTGAAACTACCACTGGTGCTTATCAATAATCCATGTACTACTGGTTTAGAGAATGCCAGCAATTCCAGAAAAGAAAGTAGCTGTTCAAAGCCAGAAGCAGTCAATAAAATATAACTACATAGACCTTAAAAATATATTCTCCGATAGCTCTAAAACATGAAACCTGAGAGAACTGCAACCAGCAAAATACACTGGGGACGGGCAGGAACCTCACCCCAGGCCAACCTCCGATTACCACCATAATTTCTAGTTGATTCTCTCCTACCTTCAAATCCCACAGGTGTTTTTCTTGGCTTCTTTCAACCTTTCCTAGCCCGTTCATTCGTTTCTCCCAGGGCTCCAGGGCTATGGCCAGTTTCTCCTACAGGACGAAAAGCGAGAGTTTAAGAAGTGAAGCGGGCCAGGCTCGTCCGCCCCCCCCCAGGGCCTTGTCCCGCTCACCTTGTAAATCTGGTCCCCATCCTCCAAGGAGATGAAGCCGTGCCCAACATGGGATGGCAAACCGGCACAGAAGTAGCAAAGGGGAATCTCATCGGTGACACAGAAGAGCTCAAAAATGGCACCATGCCCCAAACATTCCAAGCTGTATTTTTCCTCCGGGCTGCTTATCGTCACCCTCCCCTCAGGGTAGTCCACGTCTCCCTGCTGGGTCGCCTCTCTTGCTTTCTGGGCCAAGTGCCACAGGTACTGATACGGTGAGCATTGTCTATCAGGACAGAGTTCGTGACACTCAGGGCAACTGGGAATTCACCATTGGCTACCCCAGAAAGAAGTGATGCATCTGAGGCAGAAGCAGTGCCCGCTGTACTGGCTTAGTGAACAGGTCCTTGCAGAGAACGCACGCCAAATCTTGGTGGAGGCCCTCCGCCATTCTTGCTTCCAACACTTGCAGGTGGAACAGGTTCCAGAAATCAGGTTTCACCTTTTTTTTAAGGCTGCCTACTATTTTTCCTTCTTTTGATTATGGTAGAGCCCCAATACCAATGAGAAAAGGGGTCCTGTGCTCTTAATGGTTCTGAAAAAAAAGAAGGAATTTCAACAGGTGCAGCTTGTCACACAAGCTACACCTGCTGAAAGCCCCTCTTCCACACAACTATGAAAAGTAGGGGGAGATGTCCTGTCTTACCTCTGGCCACCCTAGAGCATCACTCCATCAAGTAAAAAGCCACCGAGGTTGTGAATGATTTATTTTGTGACAGCAGGAACAAACAAACAAAAAAGAGGGTGAAATCTCCAGATACCAGGCAGACTGAGTTACTGTCCTGCTCCCATAACATCCCCTGTACTGTCACCTACTCGGAGATCTGTTGATGCACAGCAGGTTGGAAATATTTAAGGAATAAATACATAAGTGAGAGATATAACAAAAAGACAAGAGGCAGAAGGATGTGGAAAGGAGAAAGCTTGTGGATGAAATACATAGAAGAGCGACTGATTACAGGCACCTTAGTGTCACCACCGTTCTATGGTTGATGCAGAGCTTTGAAAAATTGCCTGTTTGGACCCACTGTTAGGCTGGGAAAAAAAGCAAGTTGTGTAGTCCTTAGTGAATCTAAATGCAGGAGAGATGATACAGTACCTTTATTCGATCATTAAATTTTTTTTAAAAACATCAGCAGGCTTTCCTGGATCAAATTCACTTCTTCAGGCCACGCACCAGTTGTGCAGAAAAATTATTGTACACGAGAGTCCCAAAAATTCATGGCAGAGGTCTACCTTGTATTCTTCTTATGAGGAACACCAAGGATTATGGTAGGCTGAGTGGTTGCTCTGACATGAATTCACCAGCTGAGGATGAATCCCAGTTCTTGCCTAAAGATTACAGGAAAATACACTGATCTCTGTGTAATTAGGTTTGAAATAAAGATGATGTGGGGTGCTGTTTACTCAGAGGCCACCCCAATGGTAAGAAAAACAAGTCCACAGATTACATTTAGACGCTAGTCTGCATTTGGTAGGAGAACAGCCACATGAGAAAAGGACAGTAGAGGCCTCTTGTCAATTTAAGAGTTACACAGAAGGAGGAATTTCAAACAGTATGGCTTGACACAGAAGCAACACCTGTTGAACAGATGCACTGTAAAACTCATGCAACCATCTGTTGAATGCATACAAGCAACACCTGTTGAACTTCCCTCTTCCAGCCGTGATGTCATTAAAGTTAAAGGGGCTCTTTCTCAAGTGTTAACAGGACAAAGTTCTTAGGAATGAATTTACCACCATCACCATAGCAGCAGTTAATAGAAGAATTTTCCTATCAAAACATATATTGCTCCGGTAACAGCTTTCTAAAGCATTATGAGCTGGATAGACCCGCCAGGATCCATTAGCTTGACAAAAGGCCAGCTTCTAATCTTTAATTAGTCTCTTTTGGACTGTTCCCCAAACGATGTGTTGTGTTTTCCCCTTCTTCCATCACATTCTCCTGCCCTTGTTTAAACCTTCTTCTTAAAATCTTTGGTGTTCTGAGTGGATTACGTGCAAACATTTTGCCAAATATGTGCACGTTTTTGAAAAAGTGGGGTCCTCCCCTACTTTTTCTCTTGTTACGAGATGGATCGTCATTTGTGTCAGCTTTATTTGCCCAGATAACTGTAGGCATGCTTAGGAAGCATGCAGAAAATGGTAGTATGGACTTCTTGGTCACATTTAGGAAGTGCAAATTTCAAAATCTCCTCTTTGTAGCAGCAGCAGCAGCACTCCAGAGCTGCAGTCTCATAAATATGATTTTGTCACAGGGAAGCTAAACAGGCAGATGGATGAAGCTTCTGGGTGGTGCTTGAAGCAGTAGGTCTAATTTGATTAAGGAAAGATATCACCAACAGACCTTACCGGGGGAACCTAGAATCTGTGCAGCTGGCTAAGGTGTTGAGTACAGGTGCTTCAGAGTTCCACCCCCTAGCCTTATTTCTATACTAAAACCATTGTTTTAAAATTATAGCTAGAGGAACTGGAACCTTGAAAGGGGCTGCATGCAAGAGCCATTCACTCGGCCTTCCCATCCCCTGAAATTACAGAGCTGTAAGTCAGCTTCTGGGCAGCCATAGACCCTTGTAGACACACTGCAAAATAATGGGTGTGACATCCAGGCACCAGACATGCACACCTTCTTCTCCTGCAAAAGCTTCTGCCTTAAAATTTGTCTTCCCACCTGGGGCACCCAGACTTAGCAAACTTACACAGTGCTCAGTGTCATGTGTTGTATTATGTGATCATCAGTCATTCCCTACCATCAGTCTGGGAAATATGTGGACTGGATTCATGACACTTGGGAAGAGAAGAGATGAGCGCAGGCTGGGAACTGCTTCAGGAATAAGTAGCTGATATCACCTGAGTTGTAGGCTGTCTTCCCCACTGTCTGAAGAGAAGCGAAGGAGATCCCAAAATGGAAACTGGCTTACTTTTGGAAAAGAGCTATTAGGCAGGCACTGCCCCTTCTAAGTGGCAAATAAGTCATGCTCAAGAAAGAGCTATGCAGAGGGCAGTTCCTTATGTTTAAGCAGACCGCCAACCCATCTCCTGGTTCTTAAGGATCTTGCAAACAAGAACGGACAGGATGGATGCTGGTTTTGTCCTTCAGCACACCTTTAAGCAAGACTGACTGAATCTTCAGGCTACTTAACATACCTTCATTGTGCCTTATAAAAGCCTGTGGCTGTATGGATTTTGCTGTGTGTCCCCTACTGGAACGCTTAAGCCTTTCTACTTAACTACTGAAAACTAACCTTATGCAACAGCTACAGAACTGAAATTGTAATACCCCAGAAACCATTCTTCTCATGCAGGCTGTGCTTATTTAATAATGATGATGATGATGATGATGATCCCAGAAATCATTCTTCTCATGCAGGCTGTGCTTATTAAATAATGATGATGATAATGATGATGATGAAGTCTCCCTCCCCTGCCCTTCTAATCTGTGTAACCAATTTGGAGATTTTCACCTTCCTCCCCTTCCAATCTGTGTAACCAATTTGGAGATTTTCACACATACAAGCATGTGGCTGCTCTAACTCTTGCTTACTGTCACTGCTTTTTAGTTGAAGGACTGTCAACTTTCGAACTACCAACCATTCATTCACCAACCGGATTACTGTTTAACAGCCCAGAATGGGCTAGTGCTGTGGGTCCAGGGATATTGCATTATACTGTAGATTATTTCTTGAACTGCCTTTCTTCCTTTGACCATCCTCTTGCAATAGAGTTGAACTGGATCTCTAGAGGTTGTTGCTAACCCAACGAATAGCATAAATATTAGACTTGTAGTGTGTGCATTGATGGGGCGATATATACACGTGTGTTTCATTTTTATTTATCTGTATTGTTTTTGTTGACCGTAAACTTCACCTGCTAACCCAACGAATAGCAGAAATATTAGACTTGTATTTCATTTTTATTTATATGTATTGTTTTTGTTGACCGTAAACTTCACAGAGTAGTAGTACATCTGCACTAATTGGGGGAGGGAATACAAATTTAATAAAATCGATCAGTCAAATGAACCAATAATTCACAGAAAGAAACAGAAATATAGAAAAAGGATTCTTGTGCCAGAGAGAAGAAAGTGCAGGACTGTCCAGCATGCCACTAAAGTGTGTTGGCAAGAATCAGATAAGCAACAGTTGCCTACAGCTTGGACATTTCATGTTTTGGAAGTCCAAAGTATCAAGAGGAACCAAGGTGTAAGCAGGCATGAACTGGTCCAACATTAAAACCACTGGAAAAATGTCTGGGTCGTAAAGAAAGGAAGCAGCTAAAATGAGTTGTAAATAGGAGGGTAATCCTCTGTGCTGTGGGGCTGTCCTCGTGGAGAAAGATGTAGGAGAACAGATCTCAGTGTGTACAGAATATGTCCATCTCAATCTTTTGGGATTTCTCCCCCCCACACACACACACACCACATTTCTTGCAAGTCCTTGTGCCAGTTCTTGGTCTTGTTGGTATGCTTGTTCTCCATTTGCTCACATGAGCACACCTAAGGAGACAGTAGGGAAGAATGGTTACTTATTTCACAAGAACGAACTAGGTCATCTCAGACTCCTAAAGGAAGGAAAAGGGCTTTATCTCCTTTTCTTGGTTTCTTCTGCTAGGCACTTCTATTGGAACTTACACCTGGGATGAAGTCTAAAGCAGATAGCGTACATTTAAAGGCCAAAATCATCTTGCGCATTTATGCTGGTGTAACTCCGCTGGAATAAAAGTCAATTTGCTGCAAGTTAAGAAGGCAGCTTAGGCATTTGCTGCTGTGCACTCTGAGTTATATAGCCGGACAGGAAATGCTTACACTGACTTCTTGACTTGCAGCAATTTGCTGCTGAATTTTTTGTCTTTTAATGTTACCCCTCCCCCAAACTCTCTAAGGGTTGCTAATATATATTGCTAAGTTGCTTCTAACTTATGGCAAACCTAGTTGCGTTGTCAGACGTTCAACGAGTGTTTTATCACTGCCTCCATGCCATGGGTTTCCATGGCTGAGTGGGGATTTGAACCTGACTCTGACACTTTGGCCACTATACTACGGCGGCTCTCATCTTCATCAATACATTTTATATTCCTCTAAACCAATTGTGGGCCACTTGTGGCTCCCCAAAAGGTAACCGGATCACAGCTCTTCCCATTCTTCAAAAGTTGCTGTTTCCTAAGGCTAATCTGAATTGTAGCACATTATATCAAAGGCCACAAATTGTCCACTCTCTTTCTCTTCTAGTGAGTTGACCTTTACTGTAATTTGGGTGGACAACATGTGGTCAGTGGGATGCAGGAACCGACCGCAAGCCCAAATACTGCCTTCTTTACTCACCCTCCCCATTTCCATTAAATCATCATCACCATCATATGCCATCAAGTCAATTCTAACATGGTGACCCTTTTCAGGGTCCTTGAGGTTGAAAGTACTCAAAAGTGGTTTACCCTTCCCTTCTTCTGTGTGTGTGTGGGGGGTGCCCTGGGACTGTGCAGCTTGTCCAAGGCTAGACAGGCTAGTTCTACCGTGGGGATTCAAACCCCCCAACCTCTTGCTCTGCAGCCATATGCGTAAACCACTGAGCTCTCCTTTAAAGCTTTTGAAAAAATGTTTGTTCAAAAAAATTATTTGCACCCTCTAGGGGGAAACAGGTGCGATTTTGCCCAATCTTAGCACTTTTGAGCCTTAGTGTTCCTATGCCCCCCCAAATATTTTTAGTTAAAGAAGGATATAAAGAAGCTTTTTTAAAAGCTTAAGATATCTGAAATATGGTAGGGAAAAAAGGATGGTATTGCATGTGCAGCCATTGGCATACAAAGTAATAAAACAGGACACACAATATTTAAGTGTAAATAGAACAAAAGTCCCTAAAGAGAACTGACCTACATGTTCATATCCTGCACTCATCCTGTTGGACAGAAAACCTGGGAACAAGGCAGCATAATTACCTGCCCTGTACAGAACAGATTCTGCCCCAATTGATCTACCTCCGGTTCTTACGCACCCACACACAGAAAAGTACAGGCACGCCTTTGTAGGAGGCTTTCTTTACAAATCATCTCATGTAAACCTAGAAATATGCTTATTCCTTTCCTCTGGGTTTTCCTCTCCTCCCAAGCAGTGTCTGAACTGCTGTGATGTCACAGAATACCCTTAAACATTCTAACTTCAGAAGGTTAAGAGGAGGGGAAAAGAAATATCAAACTGCTACAATATTTCACTGAAAGTGGTTTTGTTTAAAATGGCTTAGATTAAATATGATTTTATTCCTATGTTTCTTTTGTTGCTTTTGAATCATAAGCCACTTGCTACAGGCTGATTTGAAATGTATTTCTTAGACATTTTCTGCTTGCTAACTATATTTAACGTACTTACTTCACTTATTTCTCTGTGCCCTTATGGTTATAGTGAACAGCAACCTTCAAAGCCATTAGACACATGGTTCAGGGTTAAAGAAAATGACAAGCTACCATCTTCCAGCCATGGTCCAAAGAGAGGGTTTCATAAGCCCAGCCATATCATTAGGCAGATCAAAGAGGACACATCACACAGTGGATTTTTGGAGGTGTCATGAGAAAGGCAGCAATTTTTTCACAATTTAGAGTATATCGATTGGATTTTTATTTCCATGAAGAGAAAGAGGCACTGTGACTTTTGCTGGCTAAAGAACCAAATTAACTCCACGGGTCAAAGAAGCTTGGTTCGGTGCTTGTATTATTTGCTGCTCTGTCTCAGACATCAAATCTCCTGTGGCTCTGGTCAATAATTCTCAGAGTTTACATACCTTTAAGCTTGTTCCAACCTCTGGAAACAACCACATCCACATTCTTAACGTATTTTGTTGCAATGGGCAGGCATTGGTGTTGGCTGTTCGCAAATTTGGAATTCTCTTTCTCTTCAGACTCAAAGTGTGAGCATCTGTTCAAAGGGATGTAGTTTAAGAAGAAAGGAGAACGGGGGGGGGAGAGACAGATATTTTCTGAGTGGCATATGATCTTTTTTGCATATTAAAAGCATTGCGTAATAATTATTTAAAAAGAAAATTGCACTTTTAAAAAAATCAAGTATTCTTATTAATGAATGTACTATGTGAACACATGTGGGCATCCCCTGGGTAATGAGAGCACTCATGACGCAGCGGCTGAACTGCAGTACTGTAGCCAGAACTCTCCTCAGTATCTGGGTTCAATCCCAGGTAGGTGGCTCAAGGTTCACTAAGCCTTCTGTCCTTCCGAGGTCAGTAAACTGAGTACAGTGGACCCTTGACTTACGGGATTAATCCATATTGGAACGATGTCTGCAGGTCAAAAAGTCTGTAGGTCGAGTCTCCATTGACCCAAAATGCATTGAAAACTGATTCATCCGGAACCGGCCGTTTTTGTTCCATTTTTTTTTAAAAAATCTGGTCTGTAGGTCGATTCTCTGGCTGCATGTCGAACCTAAATTTTGCCGCCAGAGAAGTCTGTAACTCGAAAAGTCTGTAAGAGGTGCCGTCTGTAAATCGAGGGTCCACTGTACCCAGATCACATGTTCCTTGCATAATTATCTTGTAAATGCCCCAGAGGGTACTTTATGTGCTATGGAGCCGTGTATTCTTTCTCTTCTACCAAAAGCAAGACATCACTCATGTCTGTTTTGACTTTGGATACAGTTGCTTTAAATAATAATGCGCCATACTGAGCCATAAAGTCTTTTTCCCCACTTCCTGCACTCCCCTCGCCCGTTGACTTCATCCTAAATGATCCGCTGTAACAGTGGTTGAAATCCTGTTGTGCTTCTATGCAAACGGTATACCCTTTAGAGGCAAGCTGCCTCAAGTTAAGAAATATCCATAAATGTTATCTGTTGTCTAGTGAGTCACGTAACTCGGCATGCAATGCGACAGGATTTCAGCCAATATGTGCATGCCATTTCTCAGAAGGTGGCCACAGTATTCTAGCTTTCTGCATTTTATCACTAATAAGCAGAGCCAGTGTGATGTTTTGAAACATCTGCCAATGAGAACATGGGTATTTTTGGAGTTACAGGGATCTGCAAAGGGAGGAGGTATCACATAGAAATATCTGGACAGGGGCAGATGCTACACATAAACCAGCCTTTAGAACAGTAGCAGGCAAGCAGGGGCCCTCTAAATCTGGCAGGATGACAACTCCCATCATCCCTCTGCCACTGACCACACTAATGGGAGTCACAGTCTGCAGGGTACCCAGTTTTCTAACAGGATAGCTCCACGGCACATTCCCTTTCCATGCTACCGCTCTCCCTTCTGCTTCACACCCAGCATAGGCTACTTAGCACATGTAATCAAGTGTTGGACTCAAGACTGTGCTAGAGCACTCAGGCAATAGAGCGCTTGCTCACCGTTGGGTCTTCATCCTTGTGCTCTACCTCCAGTTCTTACGCGTCTGTACATGGGAAGCAAAGACACGCCTTTGTGGGAGGACACTTCGGACCTGACCATGTCTCACCCCTGATCCTACGAGTTCAAAAGCATTTAGCTGAAGCTGCTCTTATGACCAACCACGAGCAAAGCAAACACCATTTATAACGAGAAAAGGAAGAGAATATTTAACTCATTATTAAATAAGCCAAGGCTGTTTGCTTGAAGGGCTACACATTCCAGGATTAAGTAGAACCATGTAATTTAATATAGTTGGAAGTGGCGGGAAGGACTTTGTACCGCGAACCTCATCAAAGGCTCGTAGACAAGGTGTTTCCCCTCTCATGATCTCTCCTGGGAAGAGTCTGGGGAATTAAAAACCTTGGAAAGGCCAAGGTGGTCCTTTAAAGGGATTGTTCCCTATCCATTCTTGAAAAAACCTAAAGACTGCACAGATTAATACAAGGGGAGGTGCTAATGGACAGATAGTCCCAGTGCTGAGAAAAGTTTCCTTTTTTTATAGTTGGGTTTTCCCCCAGGATCAATATATTCTTGTAAGCTATCCTTATTGTAATGCAAAGTATTTTGAGGATGGTTTGGTTTTGAATGGATAATTAAAAGCAACTGGGTTTGCAAAAGTCCTGCTCCTTATTTGATGATCTGGGCAGAGCCGGCAGCCTGCATTTTTGGACTCTCCTGAAAGGGCATAACTATGAGGGCAATCATGAATAACGCCTGCTGTAACCACTGCACCATTGGGTGTCATCAACCAACTTTTTCTTCACTGCTTCTTTCCTCCAAGATGCTTTAGACCGACATATACTTTTCTGGCATTCTAGGAGTCCAGTAACACATCCTCTCTAGTCCCCTTGCTCTCTAAAAGAACCCCGACATCACAGAGCCCTCTCCTTAAGGTTATGACTCTCCAGACCCCATTCTCCCTTCCTAAAAACAGGAAAGCAGAATAATTACCTTTCCAAAAGATAGTCCAACTTCAGATGTTGGGATTCAAGATCTTGTATTCAAGTTCACATCTCAAAGGAGGAAGATCCTGCACTGGTAAGTATTAACCAGGAAGATGTCAACAAATTGATGCTAAGTTGTCCCATCTGTGCAAAGTAGAGAAAACAGGAGAACCAGCAATTCTGTCTTTGGCAGTATGATTCGGGGCTGGAGCTCTGTCTTATTTTGGTTTCATATAGTTTTTCTGTGTAGTGCTTTAAAGTGTCTGTTGTGTTACTATATTGTGAAATGCCCAGAGTGGCCTTGGCAGCCACATGGGTGGTATAAAAGTTTGAATGAATGAATGAATGCTCTCACCTACTAGAGCGTAAGCCACACTGAACTCCGTCAGATGTACCTCTGGCTTAGAAACACACTATTATTGAATGATTGCAGCAATCCTACCATGAACACCAATAAGAGGAAAATAATAATAATACTAAAATAATAACTGCAGGAAAAACAGTAACAGTAATAGGGACCTGCACATGCCAATATTCCATAGTTTTGCATCCAGGGATGACAAATACAGCACTAATTCAAAAAACCTGTATGTGCCACATAAAATGATACACACATTTCCACATTTAATAATTCAAAAAACCTGCATGTGCCACATAAAATGATACACACATTTCCACATTTGACATACTGTATAGGCATTCAACGTGCATGCCTCATTCAGAACTGGCAATTGCATTTCCATGTAATAGCTTTGATCCTTGCAACAAAAGGAGGGTGGGGTACTTCCCACTTTAGGATTCAAAGTCTTCCACGAACTTCGGAGGGTGGGTTACTTCCCACTTTAGGATTCAAAGTCTTCCACTCCATTCTCGCTTCCAGTGTTCAGTGAGTATCCAATAGTTTTCATTGATTTGGGGATGGGTCCCCTTTTTCCACTTCAGAGATCTTTCAAGATTGTTCTTTTTCTTTTAATTTTATCAAATTTGCCCGAGCCTCCTGATACTGCCCTTTTGTGTATGGGTGGTATCAATCTTGCTTCAAAGCGACAACTTTGCCATACCATGCTGAACATATAGACTACATTACCTGATCTTCGAAGCTAAACAGGATCAGGCCTGGTTAATACTTGAGAGAGAGAGAGACCACCAGGGAATGTCGTGATAAGAAAAGGAAAGCATCCTCCTTGTGACCCTACACAGCTGCTGCCGGTCAGAGTTGACCACACTGGCTCATCCTCCTTGAGACCCAAGACAGTTGCTGCCGGTCAGAGTTGACCACACTGGCTAGACAGACCAAAGATCTGATGCAGTATAAAGTAGTAGTATATAGCTTGAACATTGGAATTGTTTGCAAAATAGGATTTGGCAAGAACAGCCAAAGGAAAGCTAACGCTATGTCAGCCACCCTCAACCAAGCAGTTTCCAGATCTGCTGGATTATAATTGCCATTCCCCACAGCCAGGGGCCATACTGTCTGGCAGTGATGAATGTTGTAAGCCAATACATCTGTCATCAGTCATCAGGTTGGAAGAAGACAAGGCATTGAAAGAAGAGCTTTGCAAAGTTCTGTTTTGGACAACAGGTCCCCAAATCCACAAGCCAGGGGCCACACAAGCTGAGAATTCTGGGAACTGCTGTCCTCATATATATTGCCAGAATCTGTTGGAAAAGAAAGCAACATTAGAAGCAAAGAAGGGGAGATCTGTAGCTATGCATATTTCATTTAGATGCAGTGCTGATGATGTCCAGACATTTTGATATCCACATGGTGTGGGCACAACACTTTAGAGGCTGGTTTTTAATAGCTAAATAAGTTGGAAAGGCAAGAAAACAGGCAGAAAGGAAGAGAGGGCTATGAGCCAGGACAGCAAGTGTTTCGGTGAGAAGCAAAGTCATGGGACTAGAAATCGAAGTCACTGAGCATCAGGGAGAGGAGAAAAGACACAAGATGGTTGCAAAGTGATACCAAGCGGGAACCCCATAGCACCTGCCATGTTGGGGCGAGTGTATACTGAGGTCATCATTGGAAAGGTGACCCCAGCCGTAGGTTTCCCCATCTCTCTGACCCCCTGACCCTTTGGCCAGCTCATTGGAAGCACAGGCCAGTTTGGGTTAAGAGGGAGCTGAGCTGGATGACCACCACATCCTACCAAAATCGATGGGTCAGCCAGTCAATACCCTTTGCCTTAAAAAAGAAAAAAAGAAAGAAAGAAAAAATGGCAGAAAGGTGAACAAGTGGGTCCTAGGTCAAATCAAGCCTGAACTATCTTTGGAGGCAAAAAGGTTGAAGCTGAGGCTGTCTTACCTTGGGCACATTGTGAGAAGGCAGGATGATCTGGAAAAGACAATAATGCTGGCAAAGGTGGAAGGCAGCAGGAATTATGACATGGACGATGGACTGACTGGAAGCCACAAGCTTGAGTTTACAAGAACTCAGCAGGGCAGTTGAGGACAGGGTGTTTCATAGATTGCTCATTCATAGGGTCACTATCAGTTGGAGATGCCTTGATGGTATGTAACAACAAAATGCTCATGCACGAGAAACCCCAGTAAACAACATATATTGTTCAGCACGCAATATTTATTCAACTATGGCCACCATAATAAAGATCTGCTCTGAAGCAAATTAACCTCAAGTGAATTAGAAGCACGTCTCAGTTGGTATCCTATGGCGAGTAGGAATGGCCTGCAAGTGACCAGGCACAGAAGTTTTACAAATGTTGGTTCTCTTTTGTTATTGAGGCAGTAACTTTGTTCATATATAAACTATATGTTGATATCAGATGCACCCACCAAACCATATAATCTATAAACACGCTTAGAATTCACAAAGCAAGGGCACCCACTCAAGACCTCTTAATACTTAAGGCATTCTAGAAAGTCCACCACGTTAATCCAGTGCTGGTAATAGCCAGTGTGCCATAAATGTCTTATGGCAGAGGTTTCGGTGAATAAAGGTCCTCTATTAGAAGCAGAAAATGTTCTATGTAAATCCATTGGCATGGACTCCAGTCCATGAAAATTTTGCCATAATAACTGTATCAGCTTTTAAAATGCTACAGTGTTCTTTGTTGTTGTAACTGGAGTTTGGAAAGTTACCATTAAGCAGAAATTAGTTACAGTTACATTTCTACAACTCCGTAAAATTAGGTTGGTGCTACCAGAGTTGCAGTTTTTTAAAACTGTCCCCTCTTCATTGATTCTGTTCTCACACATTTGTTTCACGCTAAATATATACATTGTAGTAAAACAGTTCCTTTAGATTGTTGTGGGTTTTTCGGGCTCTTTGGCCATGTTCTGAAGGTTGTTTTTCCTAACGTTTCGCCAGTCTCTGTGGCCATGGGCATCTTCAGAGGACATTCAGAGGACATCTTCAGAGGACTTTAGTCCTGGCGAAATGTCAGGAAGAACAACCTTCAGAACACGGCCAAAGAGCCTGAAAAACCCACAACAACCATTTGTTCCTTTAGGATTTTAGTAAATGTTGCAAAGTAACCAGGAAGAAACCATTTTACTGCAATGTAACGACTGATTGTGAAGAAAACTCTTTGGCAATATATCCAGGGTGGTGTGATAGATAGTGGTGGATTAGGACTTGAACACAGGAGATGTTCAAGTCCTAAACGATCACTATCCATCACTCCACACTAGATATGCCCTCAAAGGAGTCTCATGCAGCAGTGATTAAATGGCAGCACTGCAGTCAAGACTCTGCTCATGGCTTGGGTTTCATCTTGACATACTCAGGTAGCTGGCTCAAGCCTTCCATTCTTCCAAGGTCAGTAAACTGAGTACCCAGCTTGCTGGTGAGGGCATGGGGTGGGGGGGCAATGTGGGGGTAATTGAACTGTAAACCGCCCAGAGTGCTTTCAGCACTATGGGCTGGAATATAAGCAGCACACTTTGCTGTTTGCTTTTAGGACTCAGAAGATCTGGGTTTGAATCCTAGTTTAGCTGCGGAAACACATGGGAGGGTGTGGAACAGGCAAAATTGCTCCCTAAAGATCTCATTTATTTTGAAAGCCCCATGAGGGTTGCGACCAGTCAGTTTCGATTGATGGCACATAACAACTCTTTTAGGAAAGGATAAATAAAATGCTACTTTTTTAAAAAAAATCAACGATGCTGCTTAACAACCACAAAAAAGCAATGATGACAGTTTGCAGTTCTTGAAAAATATGCTTGTGGCTGCTATGGTTGTGAGATTCCTTTCATCCTGGTCACCTCCTCATTGCCTCACTACCTGTCACAGAGGAGGAGGCAGCAAGACAAAGCACAGCAAGAACTAGCATGTGAACTGTATGATGCTTCTCCTCTAATACCCCTCCAACTATTTAAGTGACTAAGAAGATGCAAATACTGGACACCAGCAAGGCTAACAAGACCATTCCTTGCTAAGCTATAATCATTATGGAATGCCTTTGTCTTGCAAAAGCTATTTATTTATTTATTTATTTATTTATTTATTTATTTATTTATTTATTTTATTCATTCATTCATTCATTCATTCATTCCACCCACCTAGTCCCACGGCACTATTCTGGGTGGCTAACAACAATTAAAATGCAACTACCCAATCCAACTGACAAAGGCATAAATACAGTGGTGCCTCGCCTTACGATGTTAATTCGTTTCAGCGAAATCGCTGTAGAACGTAAACATCGCAAAGCGAAACAAAAAAGCCCATAGAAACGCATTAAAACCCGATTAATGCGTTCCTATGGGCTTGAAACTCACTGTCCAGCAAAGATCCTCCATAGCGTAGCCATTTTCGCTGCCCGTGCAGCAAGGAATCTGTCCCAGAAAAGAGCGGGGAGCCATTTTTTTAACCCGCCGGCCATTTTGAAACTGCCAATCAGCTGGCCAAAAATCGTCATTTTGCAAGAATCGGTTCCCAAAGCAGGGAACCGATCATCGCAAAGTGAAACATCATTTCGCGATCGCAAAAAATTTATCGTAATGCGATTTTGTCTTGCGAGGCACCACTGTAAAGAGAATCAAAAAAGCCATTAAAAACCCAGGATGTCCCAAAAAAAGGAAACTTGAATGGCAGCTAAAAATCATGAATCAATTACAAGTAGGGTATTATTTATAACTACAGTGGTGCCTCGCATAGTGATAGCTCCGTTTAACGAAGAAATCACTTTGCGATGATGTTTTTGCGATTGTAAAAGCGATCGCTTTGCGATGGTCCCTATGGGGAAATTTCGCTTTGTGATGATCGCAAAGCGCCCATTTTCGCACAGCTGATCGGCGGTTTGAAAATGGCCGCCGGGTAAACAAAATGGCCGCCCGCTGTGTTTAGGGACAGATTCCTCGCTTTAGAGGCACCGAAAATGGCGGCGCTATGGAGAATCTTCGCTTAAAGGTGAGTTTTAAGCCCACAGGAATGCATTGAAGGGGTTTCAATGCATTTTTATGGGCTTTTTAATATCGCTTAGCGATGTCATAGCTTAGCAGCAATTTTTTCTGCATGGATTAAGATCGCTAAGCGAGGCACCACTGTAGTTACTTCCTAAAGGAAACCACTAGTTTGAGTTTACAAGAGTTGAGCAGGGCAGTTGAGGATAGGACATGGGAGTCA